GTGCAGAGCCAGAGGATGGGCCTCCCTCTCCGGGTACCGAAGCGGGCTGGGGTCGCCCCACAGAAGCTTGAGCTCCTCCAGGCCGTTAGGAAAACGGCCAGGACCTCGGCAGCCGGAGGGCGCTCTGCAGAGAGGACCCCATCGATTCCAGGGGTCAGAGGTCAGCTCATCACAGTTGAGTCAAAGGCATGTCGGCAGATGGAGGTTGGATGGGTGCCAAGCCCGATGACGGGGTGTGTTTTGGTGCAGTGTCCCTGTGACGTACAGGCCCCTCTACCCTGGGGTGGATGTGCTGGTGCCTCCTCACAGACAGTCACCGTCTGAGCCGCAGGCCCGGCAGTCTGCCCGGAAGCCCAGAAGGGCGAGGAGGGTTACGGTGCGAGATTGTGATGTTTATGGGGGTCCCTGCCCTGCATGGGTGGTGACGGGAGATGCGTAAGGAAGCCCCCTCCCAGGGAAGGCAGAGGACAGTAAGAAAGGGGCTCTGAGGTCAGACGGAGACACGTTCCAACCCCACTTCTCTGCTTGCAGTCGTGTGACCCTGGGCTGGTTCCTTATACCCCGGAGGCCTCAGTCTCCTCCTCTGTAAATGGGAGTGACGGGCCCAGACCTCTGGACCAGCAGGAGGGCCAGGGGACAGACGCAGCCGCCAGCGTGCAGTAGGTCTCCCTTCACTCAAGCCCCCCCAGCCTCCCCTGTGGGAGCTGTCCTTGTCCTTGCAAAGCCCCAGACGCCCTTGGACAATGTGTACGTCTCCTTTGGAAAAAGTTCTTTTTTAACTGTAGGTGGACCTCGGCTGCTCGAGTGTCACTGCCCGGGGTCCTCGGCCTGCTAATTCTCCTGTTTTCGCCTCGCCTCCTTCTGTACAGCGGCCAGGGGACATTCAGAACACAGTCCTGTCCCTCTGCTTCTTATCTCGTACCTGGATTAGTCAGCTCGGGCTGCCAGGATGGGATACCACCGACTCGGGGTTTAAACAGCAGAGCTTTATCCTCTCCCGGTCCTGGAGGCTGGCAGCCCGAGGTCAAGGTGGTGGCAGGTGGGTTTCTCCTGAGGCCTCTCCCCTTGGCATGTAGACGCTGTGTTCTCCCCGTGTCCTCACGTGGGCGTCCGTCCGTGCGAGTCTGTGTCCTGGTCTCCTCTTTTTATAAGGACCCCAATCATGGTGCCGTGATGAGGGCCCGTCCTGATGACCTTGTTTGCACTTAGTCATCTTTAAAGGCCCCTCTCCAAACACAGTCACGTTCTGAGGTGCCTGGGGCATGTGAATTTGGGGGACACAACTCAGCCCAGAACTCCGGGCTCGTTTCCTCTGTCCCAGGTTCGTGCTGGGCTCTGGGAAGACAGGTGTGAAGGAGACGCCGGCACTGTTAGCGTCACATTCCGCTCGTATCTTCAGTGTCCTCTTGCAGCCCAACCTGAGTAGGAGCATCGGGATCCAGGCCTTGCCCCCCGTCCCCCGGGTGGACCCCAGGTCCCCTGGGCTCCAGCACAGAGCGCCAACGGCTCCACCCAGGCCGGCGGCTGGCGCGAGGCAGAGCTGACACTTGGAGAAACCCTCCTCTCTCTCCATCCTCTTGTGTTGTCTTCCAAGGGGAAGGTTCCACAGAGCCGCATGGTCCTCCCAACTCCACAGCTCCACCCTGGGCTTTGTCGCTTCTCTTTGGACCCTCAGAGGGAAGGACTGTCTGAGGCCACGGAGTGTGGGAGGCCCTTAACGTTCACAGGGGGGCGGCTGGTCGAGCCTTTGGGGATAAGGTTGCACTTGTTCAGGAGAACGTGCCAGAAGGATGCACCTGGAGCCGGCAGCTGCTTCATCATCCTTTTATGCTTTAGTGTTTTGTTTTGTTTTATTAATTACGATTTTAAAAAATTTTTTAAAAAGGCAAATCCAAAGGAGAGTATGCACTCCCACCTAGGTCTGGCCCTGAGGACGCCCTCCTTTGGGTACCACTTAGCTGCTCTTGCCACCTCGGCCTGTCCTCCTCAGAGAACAGAGCCTGACACTTTGCCATAGTTGCTTGAGATTCTAAAATAGAAATACTGGGTTACGGATGAAGGCGAGGTCCCTCGTGTTCTCCTTCCCTCACCCCAGAGTCAACCGCCACCAGGAACTGTGCATAATGTGTGTATGAGTGTGTGTGTGTACCCATGTGTATGTAACATACATACAGGTGTATGTACATATACATATACATCCATAAACTACACACAATGTGGTTGATATTTTTAAATTTACGTAAATAGTACCATTAGTGTAATATCCCACAACTTGCTTTTTTAACCCGGCATCATATTTGAGACTTATTTACGTGGACACTCACATGGCTCCAGGTCCTTCCTTTTACCTGCTGTATAATATTCCACTCATGACTACCCCACAATTTATTGACCCATCCCCCTACTGATAGCCATCTGAGTTGTGCCCGTTAATGATTTAAACCAAACCCAGCTTTGGGTCTAGTTGAGTCATACAAGCAATTCCTCTGGGGGTGCCCTGCCCCCCCTCCCTGCTACTTAAGTGTAGAGTAAAGAGATCGAGTGTTGTGACAGGAGAGTGGCCGCTCCGTGACGTCAATCCCGCTCTCACTTTGTCTCAAGTCTTAATCCAGCGTCAGTGTGTCTTGGCATCTCTTCTTTGAGCCTGCCCTCTGTGGCTGGGAAATGCTCATATATGGTGGCGTGACTAACCTGGGAGAGAAGTCAGGGGCCCTCGGAGGTTCTGTGTTACTGGTCTGATTCCCAACGGGGCCAGTGAGCGCACAGAAGTCCTCTCCGCCGTCCCTGGGGCTCTGCCCTGAAGGGAACGCCTTAGGAGAGAAGCCCCATGTCACCCACTCAAAGAGAGCCAGCACCCCACGGCCCCGCCCCCAGCTGCATGGCAGTTATTTTTATTGGAAGCGCGGCTCAGTCAGGACCTGGAGGGCTTCCAAGGTCGGAGATGGGAACCGCCGTGTTCCCAGAGCTTCTGGCTCTGCGCTCTGCCTCCTGGGCTGCCCAGCTCAGCCGTCCCCTCCCTGCCCTCTCTGCGTCTGCCCCTGAGGATGTCCCTCTGGCTTCCATCTCGCAGTCCCAGCCTACTAGATGGTGAACCTGGTTGTTGCTAAGGGAGGAGCCTCGTTGAAAGGACAGGGTCTCTTGGGTTCCGGATGGGTCAGCATCGAGGCCCGGTTGCTGCCCTCCACCCTACAGGCGGGGTTCCTCGGCTCCCTGCGCTGTCTGTAGTCAGCCCTGTCCCACTGGGTGGGGGCTGTGGGTGTCCTCGCCTGTCTCCCCAGCCCAGCTGGGAGCTCCGTGAAGCTGGGGACAGTGTCCGCTTCATCTTTGTATCCCAGGGTCCAGCACAAAGTAGGTGCCCAATAGAGGTCATGGGGTGGCCACCCGACTCTCCCTTGGGAGTCAAGCAGAGGTGACAGGTGTAAATGAACGCGCTCGCTCAGGTCTTGCCTTGTCCTTGGACGGGACGAACGTCAGGAGGAGGGCCACAGCTAGTGACCTTTAGAGGAGGTGAGACCCTGGCCCCCAGGGAGAGAGGAGTGGATAGCGTGATGGACAGTCCTGAGCCCTCAGGGTCATCCCACCGGCTCGAGTCCCGGCGTCCCCACTCCCCAGCCGCGTGGCCTCCGGCACGGTGTGTCTCCACTCTAAGCCTCAGCTTGCTCATCTGTAAAACAGGACGACAGATGGACCTCCTGGGTGGTCGTTAGGGTTGGAAACGACGTGCGTGAGGTCACCAGCCCACATGGGTGCTCAGGAATGGTTCTCGGAAGGGACAAAAGTCACAGTGGGAATGCACCTAATAAAACTCGGACCTTCGGGTTTTAAAGTTAGGAAGTGTGCTCTGAGACGAAGCCGGCCTTTCCTAAGACGTGTGCCCGGGAAGAAAGGTTAATAAGAGGTGGTATTTGGGAACGGGACCTGTAACCCAAAAAGCACGGAAGGACCATCGCCATCTTCGGTGGGTAATAAAAGTGAGGGGGTTTCCTGCGGTCGGCCCTGTCCATCCTCGAGGGTGCGTCCCAGCCCACGTGGCTGTGAGACCCTGCCCCACGGCCTCCAGCCCCGGCCGCGTCAGGTGAGGATGCCAGGGATGCTCTGTGGGAAGGGCAGCTCCAAGACCGGGTCGCAGAAGCCCAGGAGTCCCGGCCGCCATCTTCTGTCCCCTGGGCACCGCTCTTGGTTTTGTCAACCAACAAGTAACCATCCCGGTGCGGTCACTGGGTACTAACTACCCGTGTGAACCACTAACCCAGCAGCCAAAAGCGTAGCACCTGGCGTGTCTGTAACAGGCTCGTGGTCAGAGGCTGATGGAGGGCAGCCACGTGCTTGGTGGTTGAGCGGGTCTGCAGGGCAGGTTCAGGGATGCGAGAGGGGGCCTCCCTCCTTCCCCTGTCACTCTCCCCCACAATAAAATTGGCAGGTGGCTGTTGCTCAGCAGAGCGCGTGGCCGGGTCCCTGGCTGGGTGCTGGGTGCTGGGTGCTGGGTGACTGCGTCACGTGTGTGACAATCGTGAGGTCGTGCCCCAAGGGAGGCCGTGATCAGAGGAACCTTCTGCAAGGATCGGTCCGGGTTTGCCTGTCAACCACTTTTGGTAAACTGAGTCTTACTTCCCAGGGACTAGGAAGTTTGCTACGGACGCTGGTTCAAGGCAAATCCTTTGGTGATGGGAGATTACTTTATCCAGCTCTTTGGGGGCAGGAGATGGAATTTTGTTCAGGCCGTAGACCCACCTGAGGCCGGAATGAGTAGAAATGCTGACTCAGAATTAGAAAAGATGGTGACAAGAGAAGGTGAGTCCAGGAGAGATGGTGGCAGGACATCCTCTGCGGAATCCGGGCAGCTGGGCTGGCTGGAACCCCAGCTTCACTGCTTGGGACCTTGGTTCTTCGGCTTCTGTGGGCCTGTTTCCACATCTGCACGGTGGAGACGGAACTCCGGCTCATTCACTGCTTGGGCCGATGCGGCTGTGGGTGTAACGTCACCTTCTGCTTCCTTTCAGAGCCCTTGCGTGCCCGGCTCGGCCCCAGGAACCCAGGCTGCCCTGACCCCTGTTCTCTCTGCCGCCGTGAAGCCATGAGCTGTGTCCTGAAGGGCGTCGTCCCCTTGGGGCTGGTGTTGCTGGTCTGCGGAGCCCAAGGCTTTTTCCTGCCCAACGTCACACACTTAGAGAAGATGCTTAGCAAATACCAGCAGGACAGACCCCACTCCCGGGTCCGGAGGGCCATCCCCCGGGCGGACAAGGAGGAGATCCTCATGCTTCACAACAAACTTCGGGGCCAGGTGTACCCGCCCGCCTCCAACATGGAGCACATGGTGAGCGCGGGCACGCCCCGGGGGCTGGGGAGGCCGGGGCCGCCGTCTCGTGGTGTCCCCAGGCACCGGGATGTGTGGCAGGCTCAGGGGCTCCTGGCAGAGAGGGTCCCCTGCCTCTGTCCTTGACACCCCTGAAACAGACTCGTGGGTTCACGGTGCAGAGGCTGCCTAGTCACCAGCCCCGTCATGTCACCTCCCTCTGGCTCAGACCCGACACGGCCTTGACTTTCCACCAGGCCCTCCCGAGGGCGGAGTGCGGGGTCTGAGGGTGGCCACCTCCCGGCTGTGTGACCTCATGCCTCCTGGGCCGCTCTGAGCCTCAGTTTCCACTCTGAGAATCCCACGGGGCTCCTGTGACAATGTGATGAGGGGATGCGGTAAAACGCCCAGCAGAGATGCCCACGCCCGGGGCTGTGGTGTCACCGCTGTTATCGCACCGTCTGGGTCACCCTGCCCTTTCACTCTGCCTCTGGCTCTGAGGGCCGAGGGTGGGCCGAGTCCTGGCCATCGTGTGGAGGACTCGGTGCGGGGAGGGGAGCTTGCGTCCGCAGCGGGAGGGCCCGGCGCCTGGACAGCCCCTGACGAGCCTGTCGTGTGTTCCCGTTTCTTTATTTTGTGATATGTCGGGATTGGAGTTGCACTCTGGGTCTATACAGCCCGCCTGTGGAGGGAGCGGGGCCTTCCGCGGTGTTCCTGGGGCGCCTCTGAGCAGGGGCAGTGAGGCCAGGAGGGCAGTCCGAGGCCCAGCCCTCCACCCCAGCATCCACGGCCCCGCGCCACCTGTCTGCTCCTGTTCCCACCCAAACTGGTGGCAGTGATTTGAGAAAGTGTCTTGGAAACGTGGCTTCCTGCTCAGCCCTGTCTGCTGGGGCTTCGAGCTGCAGTCCTTTGAAATAGCCTCAGCATCGAAAGGTGGATTTTAAAACTCCAGAGAATTAAGACACCCCATTTTGAGGTTTTATAAGTGGACAGGTTCTGGAACCAGCCTACCTGAGTTTAGGTGGCAGCCACTTGCTGGCTGTGTGATTTTGGGCGGGTTACTTAGCCTCTCTGTGCTTGTGTTTCCTCACTGGCACAATGGAGACAATAAAAGCACCTTTCTCATAGGGTTGTTTGGAGGAGTCACTAAGAAAATGCACAATCAGTACTAAATAAATGTTAATATACTGTTGCTATTATTATTTTAGTAACATTATTTTAGTGGAGTGGGTCCAGCACTTGGTGACAGCATGCGGTCAGGAAGAGCCCCCTTGGGAGCCAGGCAAGGCTGGGTTGTTAGAGTTCTAACTTCCTGGCTGTGTGCCCTTAGGCAAGTAACTTAACCTCGCTTAGCCTCGAGGTCTTTTTGTCTGCAACAACGGAAAAATAAAACATACCCCAAGGGCTTTTGTGGGAATTAAGAAAGGAAACGTGCTGGTGCTCCCTGGCAGGTGGCAGGTGCCCAGATGATGGCGGCTCTAGAGGTACAGGCCCAGCCCTGCCCCTGGCACTTAGCGGGTGCTTGGGAAAGTTCATTTCCTTAATATCTGGTCCTGAGGGCTCCTTTGCACCTCCCCTGGGGGCTCCATGCTTGCCCCCAAATCCTGTTCCAGCAGGTACCATTAACCCATTTAGAGAGAGCGAAACAGGCACAGAGAGGTGAAGCCAGTTGCCTAAAGTCACACAGCCAGAAAGGGCAGAGCCTGGCTTAACGCAAACACTCTCGCCAGTGCATCTTGCTGCCCTGTTCCTTCCCCGCTCCTTCCTTGAGTGGTCCCTTCGAGGGGTAAAGAATGACCACGCGTGCCTTTCCTTTAGAGGGACGCAGACTAGTTGTGGGGGCAGGTCTCCGCTGGGAAAGCACAGGCTGAGTGGGGGGCGGGCAGGTGGGGACTGCAGGAGGTCAGTGAGAGGTGGCGTGAGCTGGGGACTAGGCCTCATGGTGCATGCATTCATTCATTCATTCATTCATGCATGCATGCGTGATTCCGGGGTGACGGTCAGGGCATTCTCACTGCGTGGAAAGGGCGCTGGCCAACAGGGTGTGTCGGCTGGAACAGCTCCCCACACAGCCACACCCGTGCCTGCCAGCCCCGCGCCCCTGCATTTGGGAAACATTGTTTTGAGGTCCTACTATGTGCCGGGCACGGCTGGAGCCGAGAGGGGGGGAGGTGAGGGGTGGGCCGGGATGGGCTGCTCGGCCTCCGTCGGGGAGGGAGAGCTGGGTTCTCGTGGACCGAGTCCTGCTCAGAGCAGATGTGAAGTCTGCACGTCCCCAGCCGGAATTCAAAAGCCTTTAGCCCCCCAGAGCCGGCCGGGCAGGGCTTTCTTCCCTGACCCGACCTTCGCCCTCCTGCTCACCTCCCGCCCAGCTGTCGGAGCGTTACGGACTCAGACCCACAGCGAGCGCGGTTCCTGGTGATCGTGAACCGAGGCGCGGGATAAACCGTGAACTGCTCAGAAGCCAGTGACCCTCGGTGGGGAGGTGGGGCGGTCGGCACCTGCACAGGCTCTGCCCACCACCCAGGATGCTGGGAAGGGCCTTTGCTGGCCGCTTCCAGAGGGGTCTTGGTGTGAGTGCTAGCTGCCCCCTGTCCCCGCGGCCCACATCTCCTGGTGGACAGTGTCTGTCCCTTCATGGGGCATCAGGAGGTCCCCTGCTTGGAGATAGATCCACTGACTTGGTGCAGGTGGTCTTCTGTCTTTTTTTTTTTTTTTTTTTGGTAAGGAAGATTGGCCCTAAGTTAATATCTGTTGCCAATCTTCCTCTTTTTCGCTTCAGGAAGACTGGCCCTGAGCTAACATCCGTGTCCATCTTCCTCTATTTTGTATGGGACGCCGCCACAGCATGGCTTGATGAACAGTGTGTAGGTTAACACCCGGGATCTGAACCCCTGAACCCCAGGCTGCCGAAGCAGAATGTGCAAACTTAACCACTACGCCACTGGGCTGACCCCATGCAGATGGCTTTTTAGGAGGTGATCCATGAGTCTCAAGACAGGAAGGAGAAGTCCAACCTCTGTGCACGATGGGGGTCTCCCACCGGGAACGAGGGCTCAGATCTGCCGAGATCTGCTGTGTAAAGGGAGCAGCAGGCAGATGGCCCCCCAGAAGGCAGGAGGTGGCTGCGTTTATCCACAGGCCTGTCCCCCACTGAGTGTGGCCCTGGAGGCGTTAACCCTCTGGTCCATTTCCGGCTGGGCCTGGGCAGTGGGGAAAGATCCGAGGCAGAAGGGGCACAGAGCATGGTGGGCACTAAAGGTGGGGCACTGTTGGTGAGAGAGGAGTCTGGGGGAACCCAGAATGTCCACTGTAGCTGAAAGGGGAGGTCTTGCCCATTTCATGCGTTTCATGCAGGACTTGCCCCCTGGATGTGGAGGAGTCTCCGTCATCTTGGCCAGAAAGATGCGGCAGGCCAGGACGAGGAGAGGGCGCAGGCGGCTTCGCCGTGGTCCCTACTGGGGTCCCGTGGTTGGTTTAATAGCCTCCTTCTCAGGGCTCTGCCGGACATGCTTTCCCTGAGCTGCCTCCGTGTGCCGGGCTGGGCTGCCCAGAGTTGGGGGGACAGCCCCTCCCTGCCACCAGCCAGAGCGTCTGCCCGTGACTCCGGGGGGCGGCACAGCAGCAGCTGGTGTGAGGCCCCGGGCGGGCAGCTGGGCGTCTGTCCCCTCAGAGAAGAGAAATGGCCCGCGTGCTCGGCGAACTGCGCTCTTTCCCCAGTGCTGTGTGTCCCAGGCCAGCTGGAGGCAGGAGGGGCCGCAGGCCCAGACCCCTGCCCACGCCCCCGAGTCAGGAGGGGCTGTGCCCTAGGGAGCAGGACCGGGCGAGTCGAAGGCGTTTCTTCCTACTTTTTTTTTTTTAATAACAGTAAAATATACTTAACCTAAAATTTACCATTCCGAACTTTAAAAAATTTTTTTTTTTTTGGTGAGGAAGATTGTCGCTGAGCTAACTTCCGTGCCCATCTCCCTCTATTTTATGTGGGATGCTGCCACAGTGCGCCTTGATGAGCAGTGTTAGGTCTACTCCTGGGATTTGAACCTGCAAACCCTTGGCCGCCAAAGCGGAGCCCGTGAACTTGGCCGCTATGCCACCGGGCCTGCCCCCCATTCCAACCTTTTCTAAGTGTTCAGTTCAGCGGCATTGAGGACATTCACACTATTGTGCACCCGTCACCACCATCCGTCCCCCGAACTTGTTCATCCTCCCGTTTCATGGATGGGGAAACTGAGGCTGAGAGGAGAAGTGACTTGCCCGGCGTCCCCGGCGAGTCAGAGGTGGGGCAGAAGCTCCGAGGGCAGCCTTGGGTCCGGCTCCTCTGAGCACTTTGCTGACCTGTCCCCTCCCGCTTGCTGGGCTAGGAGCCAACCAACATGCGCAGAACCCAGCGTCACAGAAGCCATACCCAGCCCGTGGGGTCTCCCGGGGCCCCAGGCGGGGCGTCACTGCATTTCCGGTTCCTACACCCTCCCTGATTCTGACCCGGTGCCCGTCTCTCCCCCCACTGCAGACCTGGGACGACGAGCTGGAGAGGTCGGCAGCGGCGTGGGCCCAGGAGTGCATCTGGGAGCACGGGCCCACCAGCCTGCTGGTATCCATCGGGCAGAACCTGGCCGTGCACTGGGGCAGGTAAGAGCTCCCGCGGCCCCCTGACCTGTGAGCTAGCCACCCCTGCTGAGCACCGACTGGGAGTCCGTTGTCGCATTTAGCCCTCAGATCACCCACCGAGAGAGAGACCACCCATGCCATTTGCAAGTGGGGAAACTGAGGCTCAGGCCCAGGGACACTTCCGAGTAACTGGCAAAATGGATGCGTGCCTGGTTGAGGACTCCAGCTTGGCGTTTGCATCCTGTCTGCTTGAAAGGGTTCTTGAGCCAGTTGCATCCAGCGGGAGGGTGGGAGCTGGCTTAGTGAGCGGGGAAAGCGGGAATGTGGCCTTGCAGTGGCCGTCAGTCCTGTCTTCTCCGCCCGCCCCCGCGTGTCTGCGTTCTGTTCTCTCGTTGGGGCTCAGCCGGGCTGCTCCCCCCTCACCTTCCCCTCCTCGTCCGTCCAGCCCCCCCGAGGCCTCCTGGCCTGGCAGCGCCTGCGCCCTCTTGCTGGACAGGGGCGCTCGGCAGCCGTCTGTTAAATGCCGCCCGCTGGCCTTCCCCCAAAGTCAGCTGGGCCATGTCACCCAGCACCCAAGCTGGCCGAAAGTCCCCCCCCGGGCTGAGGGCTTGTTTCATCAGAGCAGCTGGGAAAAATGTCTCCTGACCACTTAAGCCGTAGTGACCGATTTGTCGTTAGTGCCATGGAGTCGATTCCAACTCCTGGTGGCCCCTGCGTCCAGCAGAGCGGACCCTGCCTGGTCTGTCTGCGCTGTCCCCTCCCCCTCCGGGGCTCCGTCAGACGGTGCTCCCTGCTGTGCACAGGGTTTTCGTGGCCAGTGTTTTCAGAAGTGGGTGGCCAGGTCCTTCGTCCCAGTGTGTCCGGTCTGGAAGCTCTGCTGAAACCTGTCCACCGTGGGGGACGCTGCTGGCGTTGGACATGTCCCCTCACAATACAGGTCAGGGTTTGCCTGACACCAAACCCAGCTCTCTAAGGTCTGGACTTCAGCTTGACCCCCGAGCAGCTCCACCCTCCTCCAGGTCGATGCCCAGGCTGGGGACATGGTGGGTCTAGAGACGTGGCTTCATGGAATCGAATCAACACGGATTTTTCCTCTGGGGAATTCTGCTTTTTGTAAAATCAATCTTAACGATAGCATTAAAAGAAAATGTCTAAAGGGGAAAAAATCCAGCCTTCCACCGCCCTGCTCCAGCTCCGTTCGTTCTGCTGGCTCCTGGGTAGCGTCTGGCCGGGGGCCGGCATATTTTTACGCAGTTGTAACTGTGGCCAGGACGGCTTTTAATTCTTTCTTTTTTTTCCTTCTCATACAAGATCAAACGACTTTTCTCTTACAGAGCTGTCATGGTTATCGTCTCGTAAAGGCTGCCTGTGCGCCGTCAAGTTGACAGACCAACATTTAGCCGGTCCATTCTTGTAGCTTGTTTTTTTTTTTTGTTGTTGGCTCATTTGAGTTATTTCACTAGAATAACTCTGAGCACTAGGATTGATGGGGCCAAGGGCACAGACCTCCCCCTCTGGGTGAGTCCTGTTAACTCGCTTTCCAAGAGCACCCCTCCTTCGAAGGCCCCTCGGCAGCCGAGGGCCCTCCTCCCACGACCACCCAGCCTGGCCTTGGGTCTTCAGGAAAAGGGACGGGGTCAGGGCGGTGGGGGTCCTTCCGCGGGTGGCTCCCTTGCTGTGTGCGTGCCTTTCCCCAAGCTGGCCCAGGAGGAGAGGCCGTTTCCCGCCTCGTCACTGACTGCCACCGTCCCCTCCGGGCCTGACAGTCATTGTCACAAGACCCCTGACTGTCTCTCCCGCCGCAGTGCTCTCAGAAACCACCGGTGCCCCCCTGAGCCTTTTCTCTTTATTGAAACCACTTGTTTACACTTGCTGGTGACAGCCACCAGGCATTTGCACCCAGTTTATTTTCTCTCCTGGTAAGAAAATAACCGGTGCCAATGTGGCAGACGGGGCCGAGGCGAGGGGGCAGTGGCCACCCACGATGACCGGGGCTCTCCTCCTTACTGGGGGCGAGGGAGGGCTCCGGGGATAAAATCCTAGATAGGAAGTCTCCTAAAGGGTCTGCCCCGGGTTGGCAGCGCTCTGCGTCCCTCTGGGTTTCTGCGCCCTTGAGATTTCTGCCTTGTGGCTGCATCCTTGGGTCCCCCGGCAGCTGAGCAAGGAATCCAGTCATGACAATACGGAAACCTGAGGCTCTAGGTCCCTATTTGGGGGCTGACTGGGACCCGTCTGCCCTGTCATCCCCCAGCTTTCAGACCCTCCTGCTGTTGCGGGTGTCCCTTGCACGTCACCCATTCAGTTATTTCCTTACTATTTTTTTCTCTACGTTGACTTTCAATGGACTCAGATCTTAAATGGATTCTTATCTTAAGCGATAATATCTGTGAAATATGGGGTTCATGGGCAGCACAGATTTTCCCAAACGTACAGGGAAATAAATACATAATTGTTAACACACAAAGGACTCACTGGGGGCCAAAGTTCCGTGCAGACACAGGTGGCCTGTGGCCACCCAAGGACTCTCCTGGGACTCAGGGGCACTCCAGGGACGCCCAGCTGAGCTCCGGGCCAATTCCTTGGGCTTTAAGCACTTTTAACAGGTGCTGGTTGGGATTTGGGGCTGTTGCTCCCGAAGGAGCCCCTCTTGCAGCCTGCCCCGGGGGTGGCGGGGCTGCCAGCGTGGTCTCCGTTGGCTGGGTGTGTGGCAGCCGGGACGTAACAAGCTGATCTGCCCCTGCAGGTATCGCTCCCCCGGCTTCCACGTGCAGTCCTGGTATGACGAGGTGAAGGATTACACCTACCCCTCCCCCGACGAGTGCAAGCCCTGGTGCCCCGAGAGGTGCTCAGGGGCCATGTGCACCCACTACACCCAGGTAACGCCAGGGGGATGGCCGTGGCCTCGGCCCGGTGCCCAAGCCCATCACCCCCCAGCCCCGCGGGGTCACTGCCCAGGTGGAGACCAGCCCCATCTGTGCTGTCATTGCTTTAATACTTTCCTTTAATTTGGTGCCACTCAAAGTATAGCTGGTGGGCTGAGCTGTTTGTGACCTGTTCCCAAGGACGGAAACTGAGAGTAAGCACTAGAAACTTCCATGGCAATTTTACATTGCTGGGGCGTTTTCCTGGTCTGTGGTTTGGTTTTGTTTGTTCATGTTTTGGTTTTGTCTTGTTTTTCAAACAAATGTATGGATCATCAGTGGGTTAGGAAAAAAAATCTGGTCCTTCCGCTCTTGCCCCCCATACCTGATAGACGCAGCCAGATGAGGTCGCCCTGGTGTGCCACCCTTGAGCTCTGATGCACAGATGTCATCTTTTCAGATTGTCTGGGCCACCACCAACAAGGTCGGCTGTGCCGTGAACACCTGCCAGAGGATGAACGTCTGGGGAGAGGTGTGGGAGAATGCGGTCTACCTCGTCTGCAATTACTCTCCAAAGTAAGGACAAGCAACATGGTTTTATGGGTTGGGATGTGTTTGCCTGCCATGAAGGACCCAACTAAAAGTGGCTTAAATGGGGAAATCTCATCATTATTTCTTGTAACACGGTGTCTGGAGGTTGGTGCATCCAGCTTAGCTTAAGAGCTCAGCAGTGTCAATGAAGACTCAGGTTCTTTCTGTCTTTCTGCTGTACCATCCTCTCCTCATGGTCCCGTGATGGTTGCAGAGCACCAGCCATCACATGTTCCCAAGCAGAAGAGAGGAGAATGGTAGAAAAGGTTTTCTCTTAGGCTTTCTCACCCCTGGCTTACTTTCTCTTTATGTCATTGGCCGGGACTAGGCCACTCATGGACCAGAGGAAACAAGATTGCCCTAATTGACTTCAACCAAATGACATTGCCTTAATTGGCTTCAACCAATGCAGTTGTCCCAGTTGGCTTCACACGTCATCCCTGGGACTACCTGAGCCAGTCAGAAGCAGGAAGAGCTGTTGGCTGAGCAACCAGTAGGGTCTGCCATAGTGGTGTTTTTTTTTCTCTGAACGTATGCGGCAGATGGCCCTCCCCCTACAGCATCCTGATATCATCCCGTCTCATTTATCCCTTTCCTCCATCACCTCCATCGCTCATCAGACAAATATGTGCTGATTCTCGGAGAACTGCTCACCCAGTGCACAGCCTGCGATTTGCGTGCTGGCCGCCGGCCTGGCCGCCATCCTAGCACCGTGCCCTTCACACCACGGGCCCTTGAGGCATGTTTGCTCAGTTTCTGGAGGAAACAAGGATGACCTCATTTATTTGGTCTGGGTCGGGAGTGGCCGAGAGAAGGTGGGATGAAGGGGGAGTTGCTGAGGCTGGGAGGAAACAGAAGCTCCGTAAAGCACGTGGTGTGCCCGTGGTGGCGGGGTCTCAGTGGCCAGCGGGATAAGGGTGGGAGACTGTGTTGTGCTGGGGACGGACGCAGGCCCCCGGCAGGAGCAGGAAACTGGTTCTCTGTGGTGGGCTTCCTGTCCGAGTGGCAGGTGGGGAGTGAGGACTCATTCGATTCGCTCTTTTAGTTTTTATTTACTTATTTTTTGAGGAAGATTAACCCTGAGTTAACGTTTTCTGCCAACCCTCCTCTTTTTTTGCTGAGGAAGACTGGCCCTGAGCTAGCATCCATGCCCATCTTCCTCTACTTATATGTGGGACGCCTGCCACAGCATGGCTTGACAAGCGGTGCATAGGTCCGTATCCAGGATCCCAACTGGTGAATCCCAGGAGACCAAAGTGGAGCATGTGAACCTAACTGCTGCACCACCAGGCTAGCCCTCGATTTGCTCTTTACATAAAAAAATATACTTGAAGTCCCATCAGAAACGCAACTCTTCCTTTCTTTAGCCCCCACCCCTTTTCTTGAACAAAGAATAATCTACATACAGTAGAATATACTAATCCTAAGGGCCCAGCCTGATAAATTCTCACACATATTTGTGTGTATTGGCCAGCTTGGGTCCCATAACAAAATACCGCAGCTGGGGGCTCCACCAGCAGACGTTTGTTTTCTCACAATTCTGGAGCCTGGTGTCCTGGCTCAAGGTCCTGCAGGGTCCGTTCCTGGTGAGGACTCTCTTCCTGGCTTTCAGACGGCCGCCTTCTCCCTGTGTCCTCACGTGGCCTTTCCTTGACCACACAGAGGGAGAGAGAGGGAGAGAGAGAGAAAGGGGGTGAGAGAGAGGGAAGGAGAGAGAGAAAGGGAGAGAGAGAGAGGGAGAGGGCGGGGAAAAAGAGGGAGGGACAGAGAGGGAAGGAGAGGGAGGGAGGGGGAGAGAGCTCTCTGGCATCTCTCCCCAGGTCATTAATCCCATCTCATCAAGGCCTCGCCCTTATGACCTCGTTTAACCTTAATTATCTCCTTGGAGGCCCCATCTGCGAATATAGCGACCCTGGGGGTTAGCGCTGCAGCATAGGAATTTGGGGACACAGTTCATTCCTCAGAATCCATCTACGCCTGTGTAACCCCTCCACATCAGGCCCGTGAACATTTCCAGGGCCCCAGGAGGCTCCCAATGCCCCCTGGAGAGGCCGCCTTTCTGGCCTCTCTCCCCGCCGGCCCGTCTGTCTGGTCTGGACCCTCCTGTGAGTGGACGGGAGAGACACACCCTCTTGTGCCCAGGTCTTCCTCTCAACCCCGTGTCTGTGAGACGCGTCCCTGGTACGCCGTCAGTGAGCCTTTCTCTTTGATTTCTGCGGGGTATCCGCCATGTCCAGTCTGAGTCCCTGGCTGTGCAGGACACGGTCCCAGGCCCCCGGCATGTGGGCAGCAGCCGAGAGGGTGGGCTCAGCTCCCTGCGGGTGAGGCCAGGGGATGGAGTCTTGTACCTCAATGTCCTGTGCGCGAGGGGAGGACACTTACTCACAGGCTGTGGAAGGTCGGGCGTGTCCGGGGCAGGGCGTTGGCGGGCCTGGCCCCCAGCCACACTCCACAGATGCTATCCGAGTGCTATGGCCCGGGAGCGTCTGAGGGTGGCGTGTCTTTGAGGAAACGTGGAACCCCAGGTGTGCTGGGGGAGAGGGACGAGCCCGTCCCGGAACCCAGATCGGATGGAGCCCTGGAGGCTCACGCGGCAGTGGACAGGTCGGGTGGCGCTCTTGGTCCCTGGGCTATGGTCCGCGTGGGGACTCACCCGAAGACACCTCCAGAGTCCCCAGCAGCCTGAACGGCCCGGCAGAGGAGGTCAGCCGAGCGGGGGCTGTAGCACAGGTGGAGGTGGGGTGTGTGCCAGGACGGTCCCCGCCCGCCCTCTCACCTGATCCCCACGCGGCCCTCAGTGATGCCACTCCGCTATTTTGAGCCGCCGGAGGGCAAACAGAGAGTGTGTTTTCTGCAGTTGTCTTCCGGCCAACAGCAGCAGGACCCCGCCCTGGCCTCCCTGGAAAGCCGTCAGCATGTCACCCGGGCAAGCCTGTTGATTTAGCAAAGGCTGGGAGAGCACGGAGCTGCCCCGGGAGCAGGGCCCGGGCGAGGGCGTCCACACAGTCGCTCCCTTCATGCTCACGACAACCTCCCGCCATGACCCCATCTCAGAGGGGGAGTGGGCGGGGGTCCCAGCCAGGGAGTCTGCTCTGTCCTGCCTGGCTGGAGGAGGCTGGGGCCAAGCTGGGCCTGGCAGCGAGGCCCCAAATCTCCTTCCCGAGTGAACAAATGGATGACTGGGGCAACCACGAAGGAAGTTTCTAGAACAAATCACAGAGACTGGTCCCCAGTCACTCGCTGTTCCGGCTTGTGCTGCCAAAGGCCTAGGGGCTGTGAGACAGGCTTGGGAATTCTGGCACCACCTGCTACCTGGCCCCTGCAGCAATCCCAGCCTGCGGCCTCCGGTTTTCCTGGCCTGGGAACTTCAGAGGGAGGTGATGGCATCTGGGATGCCCCGAGGAAGCTTGGTCCAGCCCCGAGAGCAGAGTGTGGTCAAAGGCTCTGAGCCCCACAGCCTGGGTTCAAATCTGAGCCCCTCCACTCATTCTCTGTGTGACCTCAGACAAGGCACTTAACCTCTCTGAGCCTCAGTTTCCTCCTCTGCCAAAAGGTTGAATTCCAGCCCATCCCTCCTGGGGTGTTGGAAGGGTGGAGTGACCCGGGCTGGGTATGGGGTAAGAGCTCAGTAATCACGAGGTACCCCCTAGAACATGCTGGCTTTTACTCATTTGAGAAATGGCTTAAAAGGCGTCCCAGCAGCTTTCTAGTGCAGGGTGGTTGGGGCTGGGGTCAGGGGGTAGCTGACAATGTTCTGAGGTGTGGGAGGGGGAGCAAAAGGGTCGATGTGGGGCCGGTGGGGTGTTGGCACGCACACTAACGCAACAGGACAAAGATGCCAGGGAGAAAGACGTGTCGTAGCTCCAGACTGGGGTTCTTCTAGAATTCTCCAGCCTCTCTGTGCACAGGAGGGACCCAGGGCAGCTGCCTTTCCCCCCTGACACAGCGCACCCCTTTCCTCTTCCCCTCTGGGTTTGGGGCCCCGAGAGGCCCAGGAAAGGAGAGGCGCAGCCCTGGGCCCTCGGGTGGCGGCCCCTCCTGATGGGTGTCTCTGCTCTGTCTTCAGGGGGAACTGGATTGGAGAAGCGCCCTACAAAAACGGCCGGCCCTGCTCTGAGTGCCCGCCCAGCTACGGAGGCGGCTGCAGGAGCAACTTGTGTTACCGAGGTAGGAAATGACAAAAACCGCTGGGGACGGGTTTCCCCTCTGGTCTGCAAGCCATCCAACAGCTGCCACAACCGGGGAGAACCAGACAGGGATCCAGGGCGCCCCCTCCCCGCCCAGAGCAGCCCCCCCAGCAGCCTTGTGTGCGTGATGAGCCGGGCCCCATCTCCAGACTTGGGGCTCAGACCCCAGCTCCCTGGGGACCCGCGCCACCCCGGGATGTCCCACGGTAGGCTTCTGCCCCGTGCAGTGTGGACCCTGGCACAGCCCTGCCCTCGTGGGTGCTCACAGTTTGGTATAAAACAGACAACAAACAAGGAATGAAAACAAGTGACATGACTGTGAGCTCCAGGCCAGGCAGGGGTGGTCCCTCCGGGAGGCTGGACACCTTCCCTCCCATCCTGTCGGCCCATCGGCCGCCCCCTGTTTACGTCTTTCTCATCCTTCCCCGACTTGTCGTGAACGTGGATGATTCCCCCCACCCCCGCCCGGGCTCGGCCGGGACCAGAGCTTTCCGAGGCCGCCCGCCCATTCCGCCTACTCCGCTGCGTGTGTGGTGTCGGCCACTTGGGATGTCCCCACTTTCTCCGCTGCTATAAATAATGCACGTTTTCCGTGCCTGAGCCTCTTTCACCTTTTGGAATATTTCCTCGGCTCCGTCCCAGAAGGGGCACACCTGGGCCCACGGGGCTGACCACGTGTCTGTGGCCGAGCTGGGTTTTCACGTGGCTGCATCACCAGGCCTCGTGAGGGCTGAGAAGCCCCTTTCAGCAGGGCCGGGCAGGCCAGGGAGCAGCCCTCGGTGCCGGGCCTCCCCTGCCAGGGGGCCGTGGGGTCAGGCCCGTGGGCTCGGGGAGGAGCAGCAGACAGGCCAGGGCAGGGGTCCCCTACTCCCAGCTGCGCCTCTCCCTTGTCTTGGAGAGGGGCCTCCCCACACCCATCTTTAGTGAAATCTTCCTGGCTGTGCCCCCTCTGGTGCCTGGATTCACGAGACAAGAGTGAGTTTGACGGTCCGGCTTTAAGAATATCGACCTGCCACTTGCCAGCGGTGGGCCCGTGGGCAGGTCGCTTCATCCCCCTGAGCCTCAGTGTTCCCGTCTGAAAATGGGGGTGATGGTGTCGACCCCTGGGGGCGTGGGAGGACTAGAGAAGACTGCAGGCTGAGGCTGACGCGCAGGCTGGTCAGCTCCCTTCCCCAGGGTGCCAGTGAGGCGGGTCTGGGGCCACTGTCCCCAGAGGCTCAGAGCCTGAGTGCTGATGTGGGGAGCGAGGGAGGGACGCCCGCTGGGGCTTCTCCCTGGGTCTCCCCTTGTTCTTTGCTCAGCCCTGACACGTCACAACGCTGCTTTTGAAGTGCATCGGCCCCTCCGGGAGGGGGCTCCCTGGGTGCACCCAGGGCGGTCCGGGTTAAGGGCAGGCAGAGCGAACTCATCTCTGCCCTTCCTGCTGTGTGTGCTCGAGCATACTGCTGGCTTTCTTTGAGTCTCAGTTTCCCCGTCTGCAACAGTGACAACAATGGTCCTTCCCTGCGATATTTGCGTGGAGGCCACAGCGACAAGGGTGTGAGTTGCTGGCACAGCAACCTGCACATAGTCAGTGCTTTACCAACACGCTCTTTAGCTCCTTGGAGAAGTGGTGGCGGAGGGGTAGGGCTGCACTGATCACCTTGCACGGAACCGTTCCTCGCCTGGTGGGGACCATTGGCCTGCGCCCAGCCTGGGGCCCTCATCCATCTCAGGAACCTGGCAGACATCTTCTCCTCCTTGGAAACACAGCTCTGGTGTCACCCCTCCTCCAGGGAGCCTTCCCTGACTACTCAGACAGGCAGCACACCTGCCTCCATGCCCTTACTGCACCCAGACTCTCTGGGACCCCGATCACCTGTTGGAACCGCCGGTTCACTGTGGGGCCTCCGGGGCACGTAGCAGGTGTGTTCTGCATGCTGTACGTATACCCCCTAAACCCACAGAGGGTCGTTTTAAAAGAACAGATGCCCACCAATATACCCTAGATGCTGGCTTACCCACCCAGAGAAGCCTCTGTGCTTGTTTCTTTATTTTTGGTGGAAAATGCCCAACTTCGCCTGGCCGGCATCCCAGTTTTCTTAGCTAACTGTGTGGAAAGTGTCCTGGGAAGCAGCTTATCTGCGTAAGCTCCTTAAGTGTTACTGAGGGTGCCTGGCAAAGCCTTGACCTGTGATAGAGAGGGCGCAGGGATAAGGATGGGCCGTAAGAGCCGTCTCCAGCCCTCCAGCCCGGCTTCGGGGAAAGGCAGTTTGACTCCCAGCTGTGTGAGCTTGGACAGGTTGCCTAGCCTCTCTGAGCCTGTTTCCCCATTTGCCTCCTCGGGCCATGAGAGGATGACGCCAGAGCATGCCAGGGAAGGGCCTAGCCGGCGGGTCATCATCTGGTCCGAGTTCAGTCAGTGTGAGCTGTGAGCTTTGTTACCACTCAGAGAACCCGGTGGGAGTCTGCAGAATGACGTAAGCGACGCGATGCGCCCCGAGACCCCTGGTCAGCAGCTGGACGGTCACCTTGCTGTGAACTCCGGCGCCGAATTTCGCCAGGCCTGCGCTGGCCCCCACGGGGGACCTTAATTAGCATGTGCTCAAATACAGCCCGTGCGCTGGGGGAGCCTTTGCCTTTTCATGTGTGCGTCTGACGGGGAGGACCGTCTGCCCGTTTTCTTAAATAGCGAGCCCTCAAATGCTTTAGGCTGCTTCTCCAGACTATACTCGGCTAAATAAAGCCGCGATTATGAGCTATGAAAATCCGAAAGGCCAGTGGAAGAAAGCCCAGCTTATTCCAGAGGCAGCTCGGGCTTTCAGTGAAGGGCAAGGCTGAATCACCACGTTGACGGGCAGGGCAGCCCGAGCCTGCCGACGCGCCCACGGCCTTGCAAACCCAGGTCTTCCTAAAGATTCCACCTATAGCTTCGGGCTGCAAATGGTGTTTTCACAGTTCCCTTCCTGATTGTCTTTAAACTGCACTGGGACTTTTTTCCCCTCCCCAAAAGAATTCAAAGACAGAATTCTTTGGGGTTTTCGATGATCCTTCAGTCAGTGAATTTCGTTGAGCAGCTACTGTGTGCTGAGAGCTGGGTGTACGGGGACGAGAAGCGGGCTGGCTCCCGGCCTCAGGGAGTTTACAGCCGGTGGAAGAGGCAGGTGGCCGTGAAATTGCAGCCGGGATGTGCTGCCCGGGAGCAGTACGCGGCGGTCCACGAGTCCTGATAAGGATGGAAACAGGACTCAGGGTTGCCGTTGGTCCCCTGGCTTAGATCCCATTCATTCTCCTCTGGGGACTGGGTTGGCCCGGGGCCTGGTTGTGGGGTTGGGAATCAGCTTCCAAGTATCCCAGCCTCGAAAAGCATCGGGGAACCACTCCTGTGGATGCTTGCGTCGCATAGACACGAGACACGTGGTCTGCCCCTTAGAGAAGGAAGATCATTGCTCTGAAGGGGAAGTAGGAATAAGGCTGGGGGATTGACAAACACTTGATGGGACTTGAATTTTAATCCAGTGACACAAAGAGGCCTGCGAGGGGCCTCACTGGTCCTCCTTGCAATCGTTCTTACCCAAACCCCTTGAAGTCGTCTTCACTGGAGGAGCTCAGAAGGCAGGGCTTTCCAGCTCTGGCCACAGACATCTGCAAGGGGTGCGAGTGTGTGCTGTAAAGATGCCGAGGGCCCCGCAGGGGACGTGCACATCAGCTCACCTTTGATAAGGCCACTCGAGCAAATTAAAACAGCAGTATTTGCTCTGCTTTGGCTGGAATTTGGTCTCCTGGTGGCCTGATGACAGATTCTGGTGAGCAGTTAATAGTTGTCTTTCCTGATGAAAACTGGAAGATAAATAAACTAAGTAAATGCAGTTTGCTTGGTTAAAATATTTTCGAACTTAGGGATCATGGTCATGGTTGGAGAAATAATATTTGGGTGGGAAAAAGATTGGGACCCAATGAACCTTTTTTTTTAAACCGGGTGTTCCTGGCAATGTTATTGGGCAGCGAAACTTCCATGCGGAGAAAGGAGTTGGGTTGGTTAAGAGATCTTGACTCGCGGGAGTGGAGAAGCGAGTGGGATGTGCTTGGTGAGGTCCAAGGGCACTGAGCACAGAGGGTTGGGTCTTCGTGCCCCATAATGAGCACGTCAACAGGGAAGACCCTCCCCCATGGAAAAGCTGGGGCCGGAAGGACCTCCGGGAACACAGCTCCGGTTTGGGGTCGGAGGATGTGGCAGCTTCCTGAAGCTGCTGCTTTGGGTGGAGGGGGCTGTGCAGGGGGAGATGGGGCAAGAAACCATGATGCTGATGCAGGGTTGGGGGGCCCTGGAGCCTCGGCTCGGCCCGCTGCTCTCGGGTCCAAAGCAGGCGCAGTGAGTGAGAGCCCGGCCGCCTCACCCGGGCTGGGGGACCTCCGCCCGGCCAGCGCTGCTCTGACATGTCACTTTCTCTTTGCCGCTGAAATGACTCTTTGTGGAAGCAAACCTCAGTCAAGTTTAGTTTCCAAATTGGTCTTTTTTTGCCCCAAAGTGCATTTGGTTGAATCCCAGTATGTTATTTTTCCTTTTTCTCCCTCTCCACTATTAAGAAGAGACTTACGACCAAAAGCCCGAAACGGACGAGATGAACGAGGTGGAGGTGGCTCCCGTCCCTGAAGAGAAGCACGTCTGGGTGCAGCCGAGGGTTGTCAGGCCCACCAAGCCCAAGAAGACCCCTGGGGTGAACTACATGAGTGAGTCGGCTCCGTCCCCTGCCCCCGCCTGCCCTCCAGCTGCCTCAGGAAGGGCCCCGTTTGCTCTGGGGGGTGGGGTGGGGGGGAGCTGGCGGGCTGAGAGGTCTCCAGGTCAACAAACAGCGGGGAGCAGGGTGGGGTGGAGTTTGCAAAAGCACAACCTGAAGACATTTTTAAAAAGTGGTATTTTTTAAGTCATTTCAAAAGCACGCAGGGGGCCACCCCTGTGGCCAAGTGGTTAAGTTCATGTGCTCCACTTCAGCAGCCTAGGGTTTCGCTGGTTCAGATCCTGGGTTCAGACCTACACATGGCTCATCAAGCCATGCTGTGGTGGCATCCCACAAAGAAGAACTAGAATGACCTACAATGAGGGTATACAACTATATGCTGAGGCTTTAGGGAGAAAAGAAAAAAAAAAAGAGAAAAAGAGGAAGATTGACAGCAGATGTTAGCTCAGGGCCAATCTTCCTCACCAAAAAAAGAAAAAGAAAAAAAGCATTCTGGGAGTTGTGCTTGGGTGGCATTCCCCGCCCCCCCCCCCCAGGCACGTATTTTAAGGTTAGACCTTGTCTTTTCCAAGGGGACCTGGGCTGAAATTAGGTTCCTTTCGGAAGCACTGGCCTCCCTGAGGGAGAGTTCAGAGGGCTTCTTTCCCTCATACTGGCTGTGACTCGGACGTCACTGGACTCTTGGAGATTGATTTGTTCATCCATAAAATTGGGGCCACAATGCTAGTACAGGGTTGCCATGAGGGTTCTTTGTGGTAACGTGGGCCACTCCGTGTCTTTCCCCCAGAATTTCCACCTGTTTGATCATTCTGTAGCTTTCTTGGCCAGGAAATACGCTGATGCTGTCGTTTGTCCAGAAGGTCAAAGCGGTTCGTTCCACTGGGTTTTTTTTCTTTTTCTTCTTTTTTTTTTTTTTTAGGAAGATTAGCCCTGAGCTAACTGCTGCCAATCCTCCTCTTTTTGCTGAGGAAGACTGGCCCTGAGCTAACATCCATGCCCATCTTCCTCTACTTTATGTGTGGGACGCCTACCACAGTGGTGCCATGTCCACACCCGGGATCTGAACTGGCGAACCCTGGGCCGCTGAAGCGAAACGTGCGCACTTAACCGCTGTGCCACTGGGCTGGCCCCAGTTTTTTTTAAATAATGTAAAATTACAAAATAATGTATGTCTTTTTGTCAAACTATAACGCTAATCCCAGATTCTGATATGTCCCTATCAAATAAACGAGGAAGGAAAGCTTGCAAAGGCATCTCGGTGTAGGCGAGGGGAGACAGGTGAGAAAGGCCGGTCCCGCCTCACAGTCTGGGTGAGGCTTGTAGGTCCTGCTCTCCAGAACCCAGGGGGCTGCGGGGCCCTCGGTGTGTGCCAGGCTTCCTTCCAAGACAACATTGACCTCCTCATTTAATGCTCACAGAAACAGTGACCACTGTACGTATCCCATCATTTGTAGCTGAGTTGAACCTCAGAGAGGGGAAGTAACGTGTCCAAGGTCACATCACTACTGTGAAGTGGTGGATCTGGGATTCGAACCTCACAACCGAGGCCTGCTGCCATGGGGCAGTGCTCCTGCTCTCGTTATGGCATGCATTCCAGAATGTTCCAGAAAGTTCTTTGGAGTCGGGGTGGGGTCTGACTCAGACTCCTCCTCTTGCTTCTTTCCGTGACGTATATTTCTGCGTTTCTCTCCTAGCCCAAGTTGTCAAGTGTGACACCAAATTGAAGGACAAGTGCAAAGGGTCCACATGCAACAGGTAAGGTCCCGGCCGGGTCCCTCTCTCGCGGCTGCCTAGCCCCCTGAAGCACCTGCTGTGCCGTGTGGGTCGTGTGGTCAGTCAGTTGACGGCCACCAGAACCAAGCTGGGTAGAAACCCACGGAAAAATGGTACCCCGTACTTTTAGCACAAAAGTGTGCCAGATTGAGTGGGGAGTAACTCCGCTTGCTTCGTGCCATGAATTAGACTGACCACAACGTCTCAGCATTTCCTCTGACTGCCACCATTCAGTGAGGGCTTGGCCCGCAAAGATGATCCATTTCTGTCAGCCCGGACCGGGGTTCCCCAGCCTTGGCACTGCTGACATCTAGGGCTGGATGATTCTTTGCTGGAGGGCGCTGTTCTGTGCACTGTAGGATGTCGAGCAGCATCCTTGGCCTCGACCCGCTAGATGCCGGGAACACCCTCCCCCCTAGTTGTGACGACCAAAAATATCTGCAGAAATTTCCCGAAGTCCCTAGAGGGGTAAAATTGCCCCCAGTGGATAAGCTTTGACCTACAGAGTTGGCTAAGCTCTGGGTCTCCTACCTGGACATGTGTTCCAGTCAAGTATTTCATCCCCACTGGGGAGGAGGTGCTCAAACTACAGATGCTCTAGGCCGTTGGTTCAAAAGGGATCCCCAAAGTGTAGGAATGCCAGATGTGCTAGAGACGCGGAGATCTTGACCAATGTTTTTGCGCGGCTGGGGGCTCCATCCCGCCTTTGTGTGTGAAGGTGGTTACAGGGCAGCCCGGAGTGCTGTGCAGGGAGGACCAGGGCGGGGGCAGAGCGAGGCACGTGTGAGCCGCACTGTCAGCCGTTGGCAGACCCGGCAGGACTGCCGTAGAGCCTGAGTGGGCCCGCTTCCCAGTGGGCCCCACCGGAGAAAGCGCTGCCAGTGTCTCCTGCAGGACGTGAATGGATTCATCCAGCGGACGGAGTCGTTCAGCGCTGTCCATTCAGAAGCCGGAGAGTGTCTGCCAAGAAGAGCGAGTCTGGTTTGGCAGGGCAGCTGCTGGGCTGCTCTTTCTGGCAGCGGACGGCCAACAGGTGCAGCAGCCTCATGCAGAGAACGTCAGGGTCACAGCAGGACAGCCGTGCCATCGGTGCGGGGGCCTCACTTGTCCTCCTTTGGATTCCGGCATCTGCTCCTCCAAAGCCGAATGGCCTTGTTTGAAGCACATGCTGCAAAGAGAAGAGAGCGGGTTCTATTTTATCCCACGGGGATTTGGAATTCAGTTTGCCAGGAGAACGCCTCGCTCAGCCTTGGCAGGAGTGTAGACTGAGCTACCCAGGATGGGGTCGTTCCAGGGGCTCACACGTCATCCCCCGAGCCTCTGGCGAGAAGCCAGCAAGTCCTGCAAATTAAAGCCAGTCGATTGTGGGTGAGATGAGCCGGATGTGGCTCGGCGATGGGTGGTGGAGTAACGGTCCCCGTCTTTGGGCACCGTCTTCAGGAAGGGGTGTCCACTCTGCAAACTCCTGGTCTGAGATTTTCAGAACACTCCAGGGTTGTCCCTTTGTGAGGATGGGCCTGTGTGAACCACAAGGTCGTCACAGGAGCATCACCCCTGTGCACTCAGCCAGAAAGAAGGACGGAGTTTGGAGAACATCGTTTGTCAGCCAGCATCGAAAGAGTTCTGGAGCCGGGGGGAGACGGGAGCCTCCCCAGGCGGGGAGGAGGCGGGGATCGGCCCGCGAAGACTGTTAGAGGCCTCAACTGGGAAATGTAACCCGCCCCAACTGCAAACACGGGAACCCCCTCGGCTCTCTCCTGGGAGCTGTCCCGCCTCCCGGGCCATCAGTTTTTCGCACGTGGTACTTTTGCAAAAATAACATCTACTGGATTTTTTTTCTGACTTTAAAGGTATTTTTGTTCATTGTAAGTAATTCAGGAAAACAACAACAAAACATAAAGAAAAATTAACGCGTCCCAGAATCCCCTCAACATGGGCAGCAATTTGAGGCCGTTCCCTCCAGTCTTTTTTCTGTGTGCTGTTAGGCTAATATTGCTTATGTGATCCTGTGGGTTATTGTTTTCACTTAAGATTTCCCAAAGTCAGTAAGTATTCCTCCAAACCTCCATCTGTGGTGGCGGCATCACCCTCTGACGTACGGCTACGTGAGAATGTCTGGCTCCTCTTTTGACACCTGCTGGCCTATGTCCAGGTTTTTGTCATTATGAGCGGTCGGAATAACATGTCGGCTGACGTTCTGACTTTTGACTTGGGATGTACGCTTACAAGGGAGGTTCAAGAATCAAGAGTTATGAATTTTTAAGGCTTTCTGGATTCACTTATACTTTTTCATGAACGTGAACACCATCATTGGGTTTTATTCTATTAAAAAAAAAACCCTTGCAATTTGACACCTAGAAGATGGCCTCTCCTTTCGCTGTGTGCCTCTTTGATATCTGATGGTTGAAGATTTTTTTTTTTGGCGTCTTTGAAGCCACTTGTCTTTCTTCTGCGAATTGTCCATCTATTCGTGTCTCTGCTTTCAACTCGAATCTTAAACACGTGACAGTCATCTCTAAGAAGGTCAGATTGAGTAGGTAGTCGCGTTTATGTGACGATAAACTTCATCCTGGGTAAATGGCAACCTGCTCAAAAACAGTGGTTTCTGCGTCACGGAGGCTTTTCGATAGGTAATTATTGAGCTCTTGAAGAAAGATAGCCCGGTGAATTCATGGTGCGATTTAATCAACATGTTTACCCCTGAAAACCATGTTCTTTCTTCTCCCTCAGGTACCAGTGCCCAGCAGGCTGCCTGAACAGCAAAGCGAAGATCTTTGGGACCCTCTTTTATGAAAGCGTAAGTGTGGCCAATATTTCTTTAAACGGCTTGTGGGCCCCTGTGTTCCGAGAGCTGATCCATGTGTATTGATGAGCTCGCAGACTTGCAAAGCCACTTTTGGGATCCGGGGCTGACCCTCACGGAGGCCAGTCTCCATTTCATCCCCAGTGTTAACATGCTCCACTGGGTGGGGAGAAAGGGCCGTCTGTCACCGTTCTTAGCTGGTAAAGCAACGCGGATGGATTTTTTAAGATAAGCAGCCCCGGGAACAAAGACGTGTTATGGTGAGAGGTCTCGGGCAGAGGTGGGGTAAGCTTTGGCCCGACTTTTTGGGTTTTTGTGGGTTGAGGACAGACATCTCGGGTATTTCCGAGAAAGATTGCCACAGAGATGAATTCAGAGGTACTTTCCGTCTCCCCCGCCCTCCCCAGGCGTCCAGCATCTGCAGGGCAGCCATTCACTACGGCATCCTAGATGACAAAGGGGGCCTGGTGGACGTCACCAGGAACGGGAAGGTCCCTTTTTTCGTGAAGTCTGAGCGAAACGGTGTGGAGTCTTTGAGGTAACTATTCTGTGATCAGGGTTCCTTAAAATATTTGTTTCTGGTTATGAAAGTATTGTCGAAACTTTGAAAAGTACTGAACAATGTGAAGAAGCAGGAAAAATTAGAGACGACCTTAATACCATAACCCAGAAATTGCCCCTGTAGGCAGAGTAGCATATTTCATTCCAGTGTGTATGTGAGTGAGTGTGTGTGTGTGTGTGTGTGTGCGTGCGTGCACACGCATGTGTGTTCAGTTTGGTTGAGTTCTGAATCTTGCCTTTTCTCCCTTCCCAGTCACCGGAAGTCTTCAGACGCGCCCTCACTAACGGTGGGCAGCATCCTTGAGTTTGTAGGCTAATTCTCAATCAGCACTTTTTCTTACTTCCTGAGAATGAGGCTTTTCATTTTTAAAATACACTACTTTTTTTGCAAGATAATGTTTTTCATGTAAGGCGTGTGGGTGGATGGCAGGTCGCACTTGTCTTCCCCATTCCGACTCTGGGGGTGGGGGGCCGCCTTGAGGAGCAGCAGGAGGCCATGTCTTGATCTGTCAGTGGAATCAGAGACAGAAGGCGACTTGGGATCGTGGAACCCAGTGGGGCCTGTGGGGTCAAACGACATGGCTCTCCCTCTTCCCCGTGCACGACCTTGGGCCAGTTTCTTCACCCCTTCCGGGTGGCATTCATAAATGAAGGCCACAGTAGGACCCAGGGCTGACACCCCGCTAATCCACGGTGGGACAGCGTGCCAGGGATCCCCCGTGTCAGGTGACCCCCGCAGGGTCTGCGATGAGGGACGCACCCAGCAATGCTCCTGAGACTGTCTCGAGGTAGCGTGTCCCGTCCGAATCATGAGGCCACTGAGAACGTTTCCAAAGCTCCGTGAGTCTCTCCCCTTTGCGAGGTCTGGTTCTCCAGTGGTGCTGCCTCTTGTCTTAGTTATGGAAACAAAACCAAGAGCAAGGACGTCTAAATGAAAGCGCAGGAGGTGTCCTAGGAGGTGTCGGCCGGGTGACCTCAGCCCCGGGCTCCACAGAGCGCAGCACAGACACCGACACCGCCGTGGGCTTGGCTGGGCGCTTGTCCTAAAGCCGCTTCTGGCCCCTTCCAGTGGCCAACTTGTTTGCCTCTAGAGTGATGTTCTTCACGTTTTAGCACCCAGGGAGTCTCCGAACATCAACACAGGGCAGACTAAAGCTTTGTTTTTACTAACCTCTCGTTGAAATGTAGTATTTCCTCATCATGAACGTTGGCCCCAAACCTGAGGGGCGTTAGCAGGGCCGGTGGCTGCCTCACGGCGGAAACCCACTCGCTGCCAACATCTCGACACGCGGTCTATGCTGTTGTTACTCTGAAGTGACAGTGCTTAGGACAGCCGCCTCTAGGTTCTGTTTTTAATGCCGAGAAGCCCCGCTGTTCCCCTAACGCAGAGTTGTTTCAATACTTTGATGGTGATATCACTAAGAAATGATTTAATCTTTTAAATTTCTTGTATGCCTTTTAGAGTCATTATTCTGAGAAGGGGTCCATAGGCTTCTCCAGGCTCCCAGCGGGGTTCTGGCATTAAGAGGGTCAACGAGCCCTGCTCTAGAATGTTCTCCTTCCAGATCCCGCTCTAGAATGTTCTAAGAACTTTCGGGCTGATGGGAAACAAGTAGGAAAATGTGTGGTCGAGGCTGTCAATAAGGAGGCAGCTTTTAGAAGTGGTTCTGCCTGCACTGACCCACCGTTCTGTTTTCACAGCAAATACAAGTCTTCCAGCTCCTTCACGGTGTCAAAGGTGAAAGGTAAGCTGGCCGGTGTTTTCTCATGTGACCATAGGACCCGGGTCTCTTGGGTGTCCCTGGAAATCGCGTTCTGCTTAGTTATTGATTTCATGTTTATCATGCCGGCTGATGTTGCCGTTCGCAGCATTGTAAAGACTATTTAAAGGGGTTCTTTAAAGAGGTCCTTCAACTGGTTTCTAAACATGTCTGAACTCAGCATTGGCCCTAGTTTGCTAAACCGGAAGCACAGGCCTGGGGTTCCCAGCCGAATGTCACAGAAATAGTAATGCCTGGGTCTGGAGTAGCTAAGAAGCTGCATCAGGAGCATCAGTTTCTGTTGATTGCTAGTGGGTCCCTGGACCATTGTGTTGAGAAGGATTCTGAGGCCTCGTTCTGGGCTCAGCAGAAAACAGAGCTTGACAGATTAGTAATGTCTGCCATGGACAAGAGAGGGAAATGTGGGGAGGTATGTGGCATGTGAACAAAGGGCTTGACCTGAATTCCACCACCCAGAGATGACCACTCTGAACATTTTGGTGGATACCTTTATAGTTTATTTTCCCTATGTATTAAGAGTATGTACATTGGTGATAGACACATTGATATACTTTAAAAAATGGAAACGGAATTATGTAAGGTTGGCATCCTGATTTTTTTCAAATAATAATGCATCAGGAAGATACGTCTGTGCCTTTAAGTGGCATCCAAACCTAATTTTAATGACCTCCCTGGCATCTTGCTATAGAGCAGTCCCCGGGTGCTAGACCAGTCCCCTTTGTTGGGTTGCTACGTAGATCCCGGGCCCCACCAAGTGATAGGCTGGACCTACAACTGGCCGCCCTCAGGGCCACATCTTGCCTGCCATCTGCTTTTGTAAATAAAGTTTTATCGGCACATGGCCACACCCATTCCTTGACACGTGGCAGGTTTCTGCTGAACAGCAGAGTCGAGTCGTTACAGCACAGACCACAGGGCTGGAAACATTTGCTCGCTGGCCCTTTAAGAAAGAGTTTGCCGAACCCTGGACTAGAGGCGGACGTGCTGTCGGGGGGCCGAGGTGGCCAGGACAGAACCGCTTTCTTACCCTGTTTGAACACAACGCGTGACCCTCAAGAAGGGCTCTAGACTGGGCGTCGGGATCCTGGGCTCTCGCTCACATCCTGTGCAGTCTCCAGCGGGCTGGGAGGGCTCAGCTTTTCCGGACCTCAGTTTGCTCATCTGTATAATTGGAATAATACCTGAGCATCCAATGTGATCGAGTAGGAGGAAGGCTTCCAAGTGAGAAGCACTATGCAAATGAGAAGAACTGTTGGTCCCAATGGGAAACGAGCGAGGGTGCTAACACCCTTGCCCTGTAAAGACACTCAGGCTGTGGGTTTGTCTCATCCCCTGAGTGGCCCCAGGGGGAGGTGCCGGGGCACTGGGTCTGGGTTCTCCTGCCAGGTCTGTTCGAGGCCCACTGAGCCCTGAGGGCCGAGTTGTCCAGCAGCCCATTTCATAGGCCGGTAGTCTGAGGCCCAGGCTTGCCACGACCTGACCCTTTCCCCACGTGCTCCTGTCCACAGTGCAGGACCTGGACTGCTACACCACCGTCGCCCAGCTCTGCCCGTTTGTGAAGACGGGGACCCACTGTCCGAGGTAAGGCCCACCGGCGTCTGGTGTTGCAAACTGGGGGGCTAAGAGAAGAAGGCGCCCTGCCGGGTTGGGGGCCACCTCATGGCAGCAAGGCATGACTGAGTTCTAGATGTGGCCCTACTATGTGTCCACCCAGGAAAGCACTTGCTTCGTGCTCAAAGTCAAGGACCCGCCAGACCTTCCCCTGAGACGGCTAGTTCTCACCCTTGGCTGCACGTTGGAATTGCCTGAGGGGCATGAAAAGAACAAATTCCAGGGGCCCCCTGCCCAGATCACAGAAATCCCAGTCTCTGGGGGTGGCCCAGCAGGGTGTCGGCATCTTTAGAAGCTTCTGGGTGAGCCCAGGGTGCAGCTAGACCCCGGAGCCATGCTCTAGGGAGCTTAGCTGAGGAAATGGCTTTGTCCCTCTAGATGTGACCTTGCCTCAAGGAAGAGAGCACTTGTGCATGTAGAAGTGACTTCCTTTGCCACTAAGCTCTTCCTCGGCTCCCTTGTGCAGACCTCGAGTTTGTCATTCTTGGTCTCTTAGATCAATCTAGAACTCTGGAAGCTGGCGCCGCTTGTCCCCTCTCAGTCAGCTTGTTGATTCTTCTGCTCCATCTGGGATAGTTTTTATGGATCACTTTAGAATCAGCTCCTTAAAACCCAGACTTTTTCTGCGGTATAATTTGCCCACAGTAAAATCCAGCCATTAGAAGTATGCAACTCGATGGGTTTTGACAAACGTACGCGGTCAATCAAGACAGAGCACGTTTCCATCACCCCAGAAAGTTCGCTTGTCGTCGGTCCCCCTCCCTCCACCTCCCACCTGTGCCCGTGCCAACCGCTGATCTCCTTTCTGTCACTGTAGTTTTGCCGTTTCTAGAATTTCCTATAAATGGAGCCGTCACAGTGATGCGGGCTCAGTGAATTGAGGAGTCGAAGGAAAGATTTCTTGGACTCTCGAGGTCTGGCAGTAGTGCTCCCTTATTCAGAGAATAGCGTGGGGACAGGACCCATGGGCGGTGAAGAGCTACAATGCCTTGAGGGTTAGAGCTAAATTTATAAGGCATAGGTATGTGAGCTATTTCTTTACAAGACAAAGGAAAGATCATGGAAAAAGTCGTTAAAATGGTATCAGTGTGGGTGGGGTCTGGGTATCTGATGGTCCTATAACTTTGGATACAAATCAGATGGATCAGGTCAGGACATCCCTGCTTCCCAGAGGATGATGTAGATCGGTATGTAGGGCAGGGCGCCTTGGGCTCCTCCCTGGGGCTGGGGCAGCCTTGATCCTCACCAACAGCGTGTGGACTTCTGCGTCTGGCTTCTTTCACTCTGCGTAATGCTTTTGGGATTCTCTGTCTTGTTGAGCGTATCAGTGGTTGATTCTTTCATGTCGCCGTGTGGTGTTCCATTCTGTGGATGTACCACAGTTCGTCTGTCTGGGGAGCAGGTCTCAATGCGTCTGCCCAAGCCTTAGTTGGCTGGTTTTTGGAGGATGAGTCATCACAACAAACTCAAGGATGTCCTGGGAACGCTTGTCTCTGAGCGACCCATGAGGTCCTCTCTGAAGCGGGCTGTGTAGCATCCTGGGAACCCTCATCCTGGGCCCAGAGGCCTATGGATCCTGGAAGAGAAAGACTGATTTTGAAACTAATAGGAGGAGAGCCTTGAGGTTGAGAGGGAAAGCCCCAGGAGGGTGGGGTGAGGAGAGACCGGAGGGGCCTGACTCCCCGCTTGGCTCTCACGTTGCCCCTGGAGCTTTCTCACCGGCTCCCCCGGCCGCCTCCACCACCACTCGGATCTCCCTGGAATGTTCAAGTGGGGATAACGACCTTTTAGTAAACTTCCCTAAATATGAAAGAGAAGCAGAAGGAAATACTTTCGGAAAATACAAACAAACAAGAAGAAAAACTTGGCGTAGGACGAGTATCCAAAATATAAGTATCTGGCCTGCCACTCTAGAAGAAGTAGGAAAGAACATTCTTACACAAATTCTTTTTTTGTTTTTTTAAATCTCACACGCACATCCTCTTTCTCTCCGCCCACCCCTGCCCTCTCCCGGCCCTGGACCGTTTCAACTGCTCAATTCCTTTGCCCGGCTTTCTTCCCTCCCAGAATCCTGCCTGTCTTGGGGCCAGATGGCTTCTGGCTGCCATTTTGGTTTTTTGGTCCCTGGGTTGCAGCCCTTTTGTGCTGTTCCAGATCAAGACAAAAGACCTTTTATTAGTTAAAGCTCATGCTTTTTCCTGGTTTGAATCTCTCGAACCACCTAGGGTCCACCCATTTCCAGTTGAGGCGCTGTCCTCCCCCGCTCTGCCCGTGGTGGGGGGCAGTGTGGCAACTGACGCAGCGGTGATCTAACCCTTTCTACCTCAGGTTATCAGGGCCCCCTCCCTGGAATGTTCTGTGACTCACAGAGGTGAGGGCCCTCCACCCTTTCCTCCCCCACACAGGGAAGTGGCCTTTGAAAAAGTCTATTGATTATAATCTCCATCATGTGCCCCACAGTAGGAATTGGCCAACACCCAGAAGGGGAAGTACAGGCTTACAATCTCATACCCACCTCTCTCAGATATTTCTTCCCACTCGCCATGTTGTTTGTGTGTATCCTGTAGTATGGGTTTTTTTAAATTCTATATGCTCTGTTTAAGGAGTGGGAGAATATCTTTACCACTGCTAGGGTGGGAAAGGTAAGTTTTTTTCTTAAAGAGTTTCCTTTCATCTATATACTCAGATCTTGAAATTCAAAGAGAGGGCCAGCTGTTTGTCAAGAAGGTTTGTTTTCTGTTGATCACAGTCATCACACAGATGCTTCTTGTTTTCCAGAGTTCGTTGTTCGGCGTACTGCAAAGATGAGCCATCCTACTGGGCTCCCGTGTTTGGGTCCAACATCTATGCAGACGTGAGTATGCTGGCATTTTCAGTGACCACCTCTCAAAGCCCCTTAGGACCTCAGAAACCATGTTCCGAGGTCTGGATACCAGGAGCCTGAGATCTCATTCCGTGCCTCCAGCTAAATTGGGACCACTCGTTTCTGCCACCGTTGCCCTGGTTTCCCCATTTGTAGGGATGTTAGTGCTTGCGCCTGTGTGTGCAGCTCCGCCTCCTCTTACACAGATGTCTTCGTAGTTTGGTGAATTGAATCCTGCCGCCCCGATGACATGCGTTTTTAATGTGTAAGCTTTCATGCATACGTATTCATTTCCCCAGCTGTTTAATAATCTTTCCAGGTCTCCTGATGCATTTCTAGATTCTGGCCCACTCTACTCGCTGCATTTCTTTTGGCTGTGTACACACTAACCTAGAAGCACACAGGATGTAAATTACACAAATTTACAACTTGTTAAAAGCCACTCACGTGGCATTGGAGTCTGCTCTTCAGCATTTCCCTCCTACTTTAGCAAGGAAGCTTTAGCCGATTCTCTTAAGTGAAAGCTCCCAAACGTAGTCTGTCCCATCTAGTTACCCAGAATTTAAGGACATGGTGGCCCAGAAGAAGTAAATGTGGTCACAGCTCTGCCCCACAGCCCGCACGGTCTTCTTGCCAAGCCTCACCTCTCTGGAGAAGGACCCAACTGGGATTTTCTAGCCCAGCGAATCTTCAGGATCTAAATTCCATGGTTAGATCAGCTCCACTCATTTCTATTTTTCCTCAGCCTTTTCTTGTCTTCATTTTATAGCTCTCCCCATCCACCACCACCATCTTTCCCTCCATCTGCCTTCGTTTGTCCCCGATTCCTGGAAATGCGAGGTCACTGAGTTCTGTAAGGTCAAAGCAACCTTCTTGGCCCAACTTTTCTCCCCATCTTTTTTCTTTCCTCCTTAAGTGCGTCTTTTTTCGTCTCAAAAACTATTGGACAAAATTGAATTCTGAAAGTTTAATGAAGGAATAAAATAATGTATGCAAGTCGTTATACTAAATGTCTGAACCAAAGTCTGCTCTTGAAAGACAGAGACTTTGATTTTAAAATGAGTTAAAAATAAAGGGATGGGCCAAGTGATTCCAGCCAAATAGGAAGAAGCAAAGAAATAAAGCAGGAGTGGCAATATTGCTATCTGATAAAGTGAAATTTAAGGGTAAACGTACTGAATGGGACAGTGCAATTCATTATGCAATGCCACAAAAGGTATAATTTATGAAAATATGAAAATTGAATCTGTATGCACCAAACAACACAGCAGCTAAACCTATAAAGCAAAAAAAAAAAAAAAAAAGGTTAGAAATGCAAGGAAAACTAGATAAAAATTTAGTAATAATATAAAGCTTCCTTTTACTATGTTTTAGGTTGTTTAAAAACACCATCTCTAGATATTATTTTCCCCATCTTACAGAGAAGGAAAATGAGGCTCAGAATAGCCTTGTGCAAATCACACAGCTCGCACATGGCAAAGGTGACACACAGATGAGGCTGTGTCTTGCCTTAGGCTCTGTTCTTCTGCTCTGTTCTGCTTCGTTTAAATGCACCTTCACTCTTTATTACATTGATGTGGACAGGGATGTGGGTGGAAGCCTATACTCAGTCTTTAACTGACTTGTTCACTGGAGTTTTGAGTTTTTGGAACCACAGTGCTCGTGACAGGGCTTGTTACACAATAATTGCTCAGTTAATGTTTGTTGAAGGAATACATACGTGAAGATACTGTAGTAGTCAGTGCTTAAACAGCTCTCTGGAAAATATAAGAAGGAAGGAAGGGAGAAAGAAAGAGCAAAAGAGAGGGCGAGAGTGGGAAGGAAGGAAGGAGGGAGGGGAGAAAGCCACCTCCATTTCAGAGGCTCTTTTCTGGCCGTGGTTTCTAGGTCATTCTGTATTCTGGGAAATGATGATGCCTTTGGAAAATGTCTGTTTAGCTAAGAGATTTGTTTTGAGAGCATCGTCTCCAGACCTTCGAAGGGCCTAACGGGGCCTGCAGCTCCTGCCTGCTCACGCAGAGGGCGTTGCTTGGCAGACCCCGCACTTTGTGAGGAGCTGCAGGCAGGAAGAGCATCAGGGTGGAGCCCAGAGGGCACAGACTGGGTCAGAAGCCGCAGGTTTAAGCCCCAGCCGTGACCTTTCCCGCTTGTGGGATGATGGGCAGGCCTTGCCTCCCCGGAACCTCGGCTCTCTCGTCTGTCCTTCCTGACTCCCTGGGTGGGTGGATAAATTCTGACTTGTGCCTCCGAACCCCCAAGGGCTTGTTCCAACAGATTCCGGCCTCACCCCCAGTGTTTCTGGCTCAGACAGTCTGGGGTGGGGCCACAGAATCTGCATTTTTAACACGTTCCCGGGTGATGCTGATGCTGCTGGTCTGGGGACCACGCTTTGAGGACCGCTGGCTTAGAGAGGACAGTCCCTTGAGAATTTTTGATAATAGTGATGGTGACAGCGATGACTATGATGGTGGTATTTGTCTTATTAACTAACATCTGTTTAGCACTGACTGTGTGCATGCCTGCCTTCGGCCCTTGATCTTATTTCTTCTTCACGATGGCCCTTTTTGGCTATTGCTGTCCCGTGTACAATACTGTACATCTTGCTGGCTCAGGGGACAGTCCTGGCTCTGCTGTGTGCCAGCTGAGTGATTTGGGGCAAATCATTTAACCACCCTGAACCTCAATGTGCCATCTGTTAAGAGGGAATAATAATAATAATAATTAATAATAATAATAATAATAAATATTTGCCTTGTGGGGTTATTGGGATATTACTGTATCAAACCCTGTGAAACAGGACAGGACCATCTTTGTAAATGATCAAAAAGGTTGCCTATGATGATCCCCACTTTATATTAAGAGAATAGAGGCTCTGGGGTTCAGATAGGCCATCCCAGGCCACACAGCCAACAAGTGCCGGAGGCAGGATTGGTTTCCAGCATCCCTGAGACCACGTCTCTGCTAATAACACTTATTAAAAATTGTTCAGATATCTGTGTTGCTTCGGGCCCTGAGAAGAGAGAGCGGCGAGCTTGTATCTTTATGGAAGGGAGCTCGGCAAGAGGAGAGTTGTGGGTGGAAGGAGGGAGAAAAGGGAAAGCCAGTGTTTGCTGGACGTCAGCGGTTGCAGATGTGCGTGTTGATAACGGACGGGAACTGGGCCCACTGCCTGAGACAGATCTGGCAGTGGGTGTGAGGTTTTCATTTTCATAAGCCATGGCTCGATGTTCTCAGGGAAAGCTTCTGTGCCACTGGTGGCCAGAAACGCCCCAGGGACGGGAGGCAGAGAGGGCACCGTCACAGGGCGCGAAGCTGAAGCGTGCTGTCTCTTGGCGGCATTCGGTCAAGAGGATGCACCTCCCTACGTGGGGCCTGCAGGAGGCGCGTCCGGGACAAGCCCCTCTTCCGGGCTCCAGTGGAAACGCCCCGGGGGCCTCACTTCTGGTAACTCGGTCAGCAGAGCGAGCAGTGTCCAGAAAGACAGAAAAAAATGCCGGTTCCGCCTGCCAGGGAGAACAATGAGGGTGTTTGTGCTCGTTTACAAAGCTCAGCTTGGCTAACGGCAAATCTAGAGGGATTCTAGAATGATCGTCTCGTTTCAGAAGTCTCCCTTCTTCTCTTTGAGATGGCTGCACACTTACTGCGTCTTAATCTTTAGGGACACAGACCCCTTTGAGAACTGGAAAGTTGTGGATCCTTCCTCCAGGCAAAAAAAAAAAAAAAAGGGCTTCCTTGGGCAGACAGCGTGACCGGCTGTGCTGGTTTGCCTGGGACCGAGGGGGTCCTGTGATCGGGGCTGAAAGCAGGGGTGTTCATGCAGACCCCGCGGGCTCACAGAGTTCTGCTGGCCACTTCAGGACCTCACGGACCCTGGGGAGCCCACTCTGGGCTGAGGAACCCTGCCCTCAGGCGTTTAATGTATTTATTGAAGGAGACAAGATGTGTTAGCGCGGGGTTAAGAAAACTGGCCTTTAGCTGCTCCAGGTGAATCCGTCTTGGAAAGCAAGAAACCCAGTTCTCCAGGCTCTGGTGGGAATGTGTGTATTGGCTCCAAGACTTTCCACCTGGTTACCAGCAGTATTAACTTCCCAGGGAACAGACAGGGTGGAGCCTTCTGCTGTGAAGGAGTTTTTCTTCTTGTACATGACCAGCGTCGTCTCTGGAATGACCTGGTTTCTGAAGGACGAGGCCGGAGCTGACCGTCTGGAGGGCGGACCCCTCGAGGAGGAGATGCTGCAGTCTCTGATCGGGCTGCGGGGTCTGAGCTGTAACAGGTGCCGCTCCAGTGGGTGTTTCAAATCGGTGTCATCAGAGAGCCCACTTCAGCCCATCCACTCAGGTCTGGTGTTAGAACTTGCTAGAAGAGTTGCTCGTGCCATTCAAAGGACAGCTCAGGGCACATCTTCCAGACACGGATGGGCCAGGAACACTCGTAAGGACAGGAAAACAAAGGGACTCAGAGGGCTGTGCCAGGGGCAGAGGCTGGGCTGAGCGTTCTCGAGGATGCCCCGAGTACTTCTCAAAAGCATCCTCCCCTGGGCTTGGGGGTAACTCTCCCCTCTCTCTCTCCTCCTCTGTCTCCCTCTCATCGTGGTAAAATACGCATAACATAAAATTTCCCTCTTAACCATTTTTTAAGTGAGCAGTTTGGTGGTGTTGAGTATATTCTCATTGTTGTGCAACAGATCTCCAGTTTGTCATCTTGCAAATCTGAAACTCTGCACCCGTTGAACAGCACCCCTCTGTTCCTCCTTCCCAGCCCCTGGTGGCCGCTGCTGTGCTTTCTCTTTCTCTGAATTTGACTTCTTTTGATAAGTCTTATAAGTGGAGTCATACGCGGTCTGTCTTCTTCATTCTCTTGCTCTTTTCGCGAAGGAGGTGCCGGCTCTGTTAACCAGCGGTTGGGACCTTGGTCACACTATAGGTCATTGCTGTGACCCGGGTACTGTGCAGAGGGGTGGCACGGACAGACAGCAAAGCCCAGACCCGCCCTCCTGCTGGGTCACCTGTTGCCTTGGTGGTGTTGAAGTTTTCAAACTCGGGACACGGTCAGCAGTGGCCTCTGCCCTCCACTCCATGCACCACACGAGGATGGCTAACCTGACCTGTCTGCCTGTCCACCCTTGACACACAGTGTCCACAGGGTAAGTCCCCCGGGAAGGACACAGATGTGGACACAAATCACTAGGTCGTGAATGAAGGCGGGGTGGAGGCAGCCTTCCTGCCCTGTAGACGTCGGGTCTGATTTTTTCTCTTCAAGTTGGCAGGTTTCTGAGCCAGACTGAGCATCTGACTCCGTGAGCCCCGGTCGAGCACAGTGCCAGCTGCCACTGGGGTGATTCTCCTGGTGACTCTGTTTTCTGTATAATTAGAAGTCATCAAACATAAGGAGCTTAATTAATAGGACGTTTTTGTTCGAAGACCGTGGTTAGAAGCTCTATGGGGTCCCTCCCACCGCTGTAAGAAATGACCACAAACCTGGGAGCTAAAACAACGCGGATTTATTCCCTTACGGTTCTGGGGGGCAGAGTCCAACACAGGGCTCACCAGGCCGACGTCAAGGTGTCAGCAGGGCTTCATTCCCTCTGGAGATTTTAGAGGAAAATCCGTTTTCTTGCCTTTTTCGATTTCTAGAGGCCGCCCACATCCCTTGGCCTGTGGCCCCTTCCCCCCTCTGCAAGGCCAGCAATGGCCGGTGGACGCTTTCTCGTGCTGCCTCACTCTGACTCTGACCCTCCTGTCTCCTTCGAAGGACCCTGTGATTCCCCTGGGCCCACCTGGACAGTCCAGGGACCTCCCCATCTCAATTTGTTCTTAACTGAGTCACATGTGTCCTTTTGCCACGTCAGGTCGCATGTTCACAGGCTCTGGGCATGAGGATGTGGCCGCATTTGGGGGCCATTATTCTGCTGACCAGAGAAGGATGGACTTTGCACTCAGCCAGACCTCAGTTGCAATTTCTACTGAACCATTAACTGTCCACGTGGCCTCGGCAAGGGCATTGAATCCTCCTGAGCTCATGTTTTATGGTCCGTAAGATGGGAAGTCACCCATCTCATTGGAACGTTAAATGAGATAATAAGTAGAAGGGCCGGCAGCCCCGGGCCTGGTGTGTGATCAGCTCAGAGTCAGTGTGAACGCTGCTTCCTGTGGAGGGGGCCGTTCACCCCTCGAGGGGATTAGGTCCGCCCGCGTGTGCAGCCCCGGCTGCCCCTGAGAGTCACCTGGCCAGTGTTGAAGATGCTGAGTCTCGAGCTTCGCCCCAGAGCAACTGAATCCAGCGGGGGTGGGAGAGGTCAGGGGAGCTGGGTGTTGTCACTGAGCGAGGATGCCGCGTGGGGCTCTGAGCCGCAGTGAAGGTTGAGACCCACTGCCGAGGCCGGTGTGGGATGTTGGCGCAGGCCGGGTGAAGGGATCACGAAGCTGCAGGAGGGCCTTACTTGCTGGTCCTTAACCTGGAATGTGCGTCAGCATCGCCTGGCCCTCGTCTGGGAGATTCTGCGTCAGCAGGTCAGGTCAGGCCCAGCAGCCTGCGTCTTCCGGGAGCACCAGCTGCCCCACCTCTGAATGAGTTTCCCCACCTTTGAGAATTGTTGCTGAATTACCCTCAGACAGTCCCTCCTGAGGACCGTTTTTCTATTGGATAAGTTAAGGCCCTAATGAAAGTCGAACTCCAGGGTTTTATTCCCCAGCAATGGGACTACTCTATGACTTCAGAAAACGGTACATCCTGCCCCTCCTTAAAAACCAGCAGCTCCCTGGCACCAGGAGCAAACCCAAACTCCCCTGTGGCCCTCACAGCACCACGTGATTGGCCCCTGGTCACCTCTCCTGCCTCTCCCGCCACACTCATCCTGACTCACCATATTCCAGCCACCTGGCTCTCTTTCTGTCCCTTGGACTTGACGAGTTCTCTCCTACCCCAGGGCCTTTGCACAAGCTGCTGCCTCTGCCTGGCGTGCTCTGCCCAGTGATATTCCCGTGGCTGTGGCCGGTTCCTTTTTGTCATTCAGATCTAAGCTCGAGTGTCCACCAAGAGCAGTCTTCCCTGATGGACTGTTCTGGAAGAGCCCCTCCACCCAGTCACTTTATCTCATGATCTGGGTTTATTTTCTTCTTAGCTGGAGTTGCTAGTTTGTGTGTTTGTTAACCTGTCTGCCTTGCTCGACTCTATGAAAGCAGGGTCTTTATTTTGTTCCCTGCTGAAGTCCCCCTCATCTTCTCCAGTGCCTGGTACATAGCAGGTGCTCAGAAAACATTTGCTCAACAAATGAATAAATGAATGAATGATGCCTGTCACTCTGGAATGGCCACTGAGGACTCAAGGTGGTCGTGGGCATTGCCTAGAGGTCGACATGGTCAACGCCCCCCAAACCAGGGGGCCAAGGAATGGCTGACCCCCCAGTAGGGCTTCCCTCAGGGGCCCGACCTCCTTGACCCTGACCACAGCTCTTTTTTCACTTTCAGACTTCGAGCATCTGTAAGGCAGCCGTGCACGCGGGGGTCATCAGGAACGAGAGCGGGGGCTACGTGGACGTGATGCCCGTGGACAAGAAGAAGATCTACGTGGGCTCGCTCAGGAACGGAGTCCAGTCTGAAAGGTAGGGCGTTCTTCCCCGACTCGTGGCGCCCGAGGCCTGCAGCGGTGGCCCCTGGGGGGGGCCTGGGGGGAGGGCCAAAGAAGGGGCCCTTTAAGATAAAACCTGGGCCCACTTGCATGCGCTCTCCCCGGAACACCCAGGACAAGCCCGTTCCCTTCTCTTCCTTTCTTTTTTCAAAAGAAGCACTTTTTTTCTTTCTCTTACCAATGCCTGTTCTCGTAGAAAATTTAGTAACATCAGATAAGCCCGAAGAGAAACAGTCATCCATGACCTGTCCCCTGGGGGAGTTCCTGCTAGAGTTTGGGTGTGTGTCCCTCTGGTCCTTTTTCCATGTGCGTATTTTCCCCCCACAAAACAGTGAGATCAAGTTATGGTTACATGACGGTTATACGCGGCTATATAATAACGTAAGTTCGCATCGTCACATAAATAAGAGCAGAGAGCGTGGGGTCCAGCGGGTCTAGGTCCCGACCAGCTCTGGGGCCTTACCGAAGCCCCCAGATTTCCTTGAGCCTCGGTCTTCTCACCTGTGATGTCGGGGTGACAGTGGTGTCTGCTTCCTGGGGGCGATGGGAGGATTAACTGAGGTGCCACCTGGCTCTGCTTCTGAGGACACCCGTCCTGCTGGATTCAGGGTCACCCTCATGACCTCGTTTTCACTGAGTCACCTCTTTAAAGGCCCAGTTTCCAGCTCCAGCCACAGTCTGAGGTCCTGAGGGTTGGGACTTCACCATCTGAATTGGCGCGAGGGACACCATTCAGCCCGTGACGGGCGAGAGCTGAGGTTTTCTATTTGAGGGCCCTCTTTGGAGAAGGGGCATAGAATTGAGAGCACCGAAGGTGCTGGGCCCCATGAGGCAAAGGCGTCTGTGTTCCCGCGGAGCCTTGCGCCCGCCCCACCCTTCCATCCTCCTCGGATGGCGCTGTGCGAGGAGACGCTGCCGAATCCGGTGGCACCCGAGTCACACGCATCTCTTCCCGGGGGCCCCTGCCCAGCGACTGCCTCGGCCCCGAACAGCTAGAGTTAACAGTTCTGCATTTTCTCCTTCAAAGTTTGCAAGCTTTGTTTGGGAAAAGCTTAATGAAGGGAAATTCCATTGATTTAATGGGAGGGAAACGAAGCAGCTGATTAGGTGGAATTTCCTGGATGGGCTGGAAAGAAATCCCAGGACACCCACCTCTGGGGCTCTTTTTCCCCCTGTGAGAGGAGCCCGTCCTCATGAGAAACGGGGGCCAGCGGGGTGGGCCGGCCCCTTGTTCTCTCGGCCTGGCTGCCCACGAGGGCCGATTGTGCGGCCCCCACAGGTGGGTGTCTGGGGAGGACAGAGGACCAAGAGCGGGTCCCCAAAGTGGCTTCTTTCCCACTGTCAATCCCCCCACCCCCACCGGAGGAAGCCGGTGGTTCTTTCTCTCTTCCTGGGGACCCACCCGAATTGCCGCTGTCATCATAAGTGTCTTCGAGGCAGCTCTCCCAGGCCCCACAGTGGCTGGGCCCTCTGCACCGTCAGAAAGACCTCAGTGAGTGATTTTAGACCCCAGAGTGGAGCCTCTGCCACCCTCCTTCTCAGACTCTTCCCCCCTCGTCCTGGAGTCTGTGACGATGCTTGAGCCAGTTACTCAACCTTTCTGTGCCTCAGCTTCCTCACTGATAAAGGGAAAAATGATGGCACCCACCCCCTGGGGTGGTGGGAAGACGGAGGGTCTCAAAGTGGGCTCTCCAGACCAGCGGCATCCGAACCAGCGGAGCTTGCTAGAAACGCAGATCCCAGAGTTTCTGACTCAGAAACTCCGGGGGTGGGCTGGTGGTCTGTGTGGGAACGCGCCCTCCAGGGGCCTGACGCAGGCTGGAGGACGGCAGCCGCGGCTGGAAGGATGATGCAAAGGTCGCCGTGTCCCTGGCACATGGTTGGAGCCACACCTGATTCTGATCGTTTGTGATTAAGGGTCATTCCTTCACTACACATTCACTGTGGGCCAGGCCCAGCCGGGGTCCACAGACACCGAGATGCTGGAGTCCCCCTGCTCACATGGAGGGAAGCGGCCAGGCCAGGAGGGCACATGGCTCCCGTGGCATTTGGGACCCTGCTCCACTGGGTGTCCATGGGCGGGCAGTGTCCCCTGCCTCGGTCTGTCCTCTGTCAAATGGTCACCATGAGGATTAATTGAGATAGTCTGTGCTAAGCACTTAGGGTGGGTCAGAGCAAGCGTCCGATAAATCCGGGGACCCTCGTTGCTATGACACAACTTCGAAGGTCTGTTGCAACCCCCAGAATGCGGTGGCTCCGCCACTGTCGCTGAGGGAGGGCAGAGGGCAGAGCGTTTCAAGCAGGGCCCCGTCCTACTGTCTGGAGGCACCTCCTTGGTGACGGGGGCTCCAGCAAAGACCTCTGAGGCCTTGGGTATGGCCATGCCCCATCCTCCTCTTGTTTCGATGGGACCTCAGCAGCCCTCGGCACAGAGACCAGGGCTGAGAAATTTCCCTGGAGCCTGTTCCCATTAGGGACTGTGGGAACCAAGAGGGTGGCTCTGTCCCCAACGTCTGCTGGGACCCCAGAGCGGTTACAGTGGGTCCCAAGAGATGTGGATACTGGACACACTGGGATCCATTCACAGCAAACTGTGTTCTAAATATAGGGCATCCTCAGTTAATCACACGCACACACAAAACCCTCCTGGACGGAGTTCTCAGCACGCCGGCCAGGAGGGGCTCAGCTTTAGTTTAGCAATAGTGTTTTTCTAGAAGAGGATTTCCTGAAAGTTTTGAAAGAGGACCGTGCAGAATGGGGACAATGCAAGAGGACAGGCGCCTTCTCTCTCACACACGTGCCCATGAGGCACAGCAGAGGAGGGGAGAGAGGCCTGGGAGCGCTTTGACTGCTGGGATTGGGGTCTGTCCGAATATTCTCAGGAAGAAGCTGGACATGTAGATGAAAATCAGAGCAGGAGTTTTCCTTAGGCCAGGAGCAGTTTCAAAGACATTGCACAGGGAGATTGGGAAATAGACAAACAGTGACAGATAACATTCTGGGCCTCTTGGTTTTGACAAACAAACCTGTAGAGAGAGGGAGGTAGTGTATATATGATGGACTTTCATCCGATTGGGGATTCACTCCACTAGTGTTTATGGGGCAGCTCCTGGGTGCCCAGCACTGTCCTAGGGGCTGGGGCCACAGCAGGGACAGAAGAGACAAAACTCCCCATCCTCCGGGGCTTCTGTCTACTGTGGCACGTCCAGCAGATGTGGACTGTGAGCCACATATGGGATTATAAAGTTTCTTTGTCTTTTTTTTTTTTTTGCTGGGGAAGATTCACCCAGAGCTAACATCTGTTGCCAATCTTCCTCTCTTTTTTCCTCCCCAAAGCCCCAGTGCATAGTTGTATGTTCTCGTTGTAAGCCTTTCTAGTTCTTCTATGTGGGATGCCACCACAGCATGGCTACGGACAGACGGGTGGTGTGGTTCTGCACCCAGGAACCGAACCTGGGCCCAAAGTGGAGGGCACTGAACTTTATCCACTAGGCCATCAGAGCTGGCTCCTACAGTTTCTAATAGCCACAGTAAAAAGAAACAGAAAGGAAATTTAGAATATATTTTATTTAATCCATTGTATCAAAAAATTATCATTTCAATATGTATCAATAGAAAAAATACTGATAAATTTGCATTTTTTAAAAATAAGATCTTGGAGATCTAGCGTGTGTTTTGCCCGTAGAGCACATCTCAGTGTGGACGAGCCACGTTTCAGTTGTTCAAGGTCCAGGTCGGGCTGGACCAAGGCTGGGGTGTTAGGTTCCCTCTGCTGTGGAGACGGTGGGTTTCCCTTCCTCTCCCCATTTCCCGGTGTTCTACCGTCTGTACACACATTAGCTCCTCTAATCCCCCCAGCAGTCCCATGAGGCAGGGACTACATTTATCCCCATTTTATCAGTAAGGAAAGGGAGGCACAGAGAGGTCAAGCAACTTGCCTGAGGTCACCTAGCCAGCAAGTGGCAGAGCCAGGACTTGAACCCGGTTGCCTGTCCCAGCATCCATGCTCTTAACCAACACATGTGACTCCTCACCACAGACAAGTCACTGAGCTTGGGGCACAGGCCCCTCGCAGAAGGGGCCAGGGCGAGCCTGACTGTGCTATAAGGTACACTTATTTCGAAGTTAAAAAATATTTACTAGAAAAGAAATACACACTTACTATTTAATAATAAGTCTATGGAGTAGAAAATGAGTCCCCGCAGGCACCCTGTTAACCTCTGATTGTTCATTTATAGCTTTTCCAGGCCTGTTTCCCCTGTGCACATGCAACACGCGTGAAAATCAAAATGGAGGTCGCATTATACACACTGTTCCAAAGCTTTTTTCCCTAAAAGGCGTTTCATATTCCAGGAACTGAGACAAGGCGGTTTGACAGTTCCCTGGGGTTTGGGCTTTTACGTGGATAAGTCGTTCCTCGCGTGTGTGTCCCCACCGCGTGCCAGGCCCATCCTGGTTTTCCTGACGGGAGAATGAGGTTGGAGCCTCACTGGAATGACGGCTTTCACGGCCCACGGCCCACGGCCCACCGCTCGCCATGCAGCGCTGACCCAGACGCCGAGCCTGGAGGAGCTCGGCCACGCTCACAGGGTCCCTAAGCAGTGGGTACTTCATGGACCCTGCTTTACGGGTGTGGAAACTGAGGCTCAGAGAAATGGGCTGACCAGCCCCAGGCCTACACACAAGATCTGAGACTATGTCTGGCTCTTGAGTTTTCCTGAAAGATCAGTAGAGGCTGAGACTCTGGGAGAAAAGAGAATCCTTAAAAAAAAAAAATATATATATATATATATATATGTATATACACATGTATATATACACATACATGTATATATACACGTAAGTACACATCTGTACGTGTACACGTATAAATGATAGTTCTTAGTAATAAAATGCATTTAAAAAGTGGGACGACGGGGGCGCAGCGGTTAAGTTCGCACGTTCCGCTTCGGCGGCCCGGGGTTCACCAGTTTG